TTTTAGAGGTGAGGAGACTGAGGCATGGGTACATTAAGTGGCCCCTCCCCACTATTACACAGCAAGAATACGACAGAACGGAGGCTTAGCTTAGACTTGATCCTCGTTTGACTTCAAGTGTCAGAGATTTGAAGACAGGGAATCCCTGGATCAGTCTGTCTCCTGTCTAGAAAGCTCTTGGCTTTTCAGAACAGAGTGCAGCCTCCACTGGGGATTGGACATGGTGTAAGAAAAGGATTTTCTTGACATATTTTTTTCTCTTATTTCCACTGACTCTATCTAATTTTTCCCTGAGAAGTGAGGTCAATGAAAGGCCATACTTGGCATTTTGAGGAAGGGACAGTGACACATGCCCATCCTCTCTTGGAGGTTGGATGTTTCCAGGCTGAATTACTTCAGTACACACGGAGATAGACAAAAAAATTATGCACAAGCCAAGAGCTGCTGCTTAGGAGCTGAATGTATGAGGAACAAAACCGAGAACATGACTGGTGGCGAAGTCTTGCTTTGTTTTCCTCTTTTTTGCAAAACCATTTTCAGCCTCATTAAAAAAAAAACAAACAACTTAGCCAGTTGCCTTGAGTATGTAATCTAAACCTAAGGGGGTGTCACCCTGTGTGAAAACCTTCAGGATCCTATTCCAGTGTGGCTTTGTTTTCTTTCTAAACTTATTTGGACTAGGAAAATAATCCAATCTGCGTAAACAAGAAAACGCAATCCGCTTCCTTTAGCTTCTTTTCAAAATATGAAGCATATCCTCACTGTCCAATATTGGAATGAAATGTGAGAAATCCAGCCAATATCCCCCAGACATGGCACATAACTTCATTTGGGCAGGGGTCATGTTTTCAGGCCTTGTCTGCTCTGAGGGGCAGGGAGTACCCGGTGCCCCGAGGTCCTGGGGAAGGACCTGCTGGAGGCGGCTTTGTTGGGAGTGAGGAGCACAAATCAAGAGGGACAGAGAATCGCCATTTGGACTTGGCCAACTTGGGATGGAGAGGGCTGGCAGGTACCACATACACATAGCCCGTATGTGGGGCCTGCTCCTGGGGGCTGAGGGTCTCTCCTGTCCAACCACAAATGCAGCCTGTCTGGAAGGTGGGACGCCTCAGTTCTGGCCCAGCTCTGGCACTAACTTGATCCGTGACCTCAGCACATCCCGTCCCTTCTTTGATCCTCAGTTTCCCCACCTGCAGAAGGAGGGGCGGGACTAGACATTTCTCAATGCCTTCGGCTCTGGGTCCCGGCCTCTCTGCCCCCTCCCACCCTCACTGCTGGCTCAGGGCCACTCGAGGTGGTACAACATTGCTTGGAGATAAAGAGAGATGACTGAGTAAACAAACAGCCCCAGGATCCCAGTTCCCGGATTAGGGTCCTGAACCAGGCAGCCAGGCTCTTGTCACCAGGGCAGAACTCCCCAAGTCCCTTTCTCCTTTGTTTGGCCATATAAGGAAGAAGGAGGATAGAGGCTCACTAACGCAGGTTACAGTCCCAAGGACTGAGGGGAAAGCTGTGGCCTCTAAGGACCTCGGTGACTAACCAGGAATGAGGAATAAAACACCACTCATCATCTCCTCTGTGGCACAACCCTCAGAGCCCAGAGCTGGGGCACCCGAGGAGAGACGCACCGTGAGAGGCCCTGGTGACCTTCCCTAGACTCCAGGCCTGCAGAAGCACTGGCCCATAGGTGGCCCTCATCTGTCTGGCTTCCCAGGCCCTGACGCCTGCCCTCAATCCTCTCCTATCCAGCTGGGAACCATCTTCCCAGAACAGAGCCCACAGCCCACTTTCATTCAACCTACCCATTCAGAGCCCTTTAGATTTCCAACCCCCTTTCTGGCTTCTTCCAGGGGATGGGCTCTATGGCTTCCCCCTCTCCTTCTTCATGTGGTTTGCTGCACCTGAGATGCCTCGGCCTCCACTTCACTCTCTGAGATACTATCCATCCTAGAGGTTTATCTCAAACTCCACCTCCTCCAAGAAGCCCTCCATGATGCCTGCTCCTGACTGAGATTGCTTCCTCAGAGGCCCCCCATCTGTGGCTTGCTGAAGCACCTGGTTCAATGATCATTTCTGTACCTGTCTGCCTTCCCATCCAGAGTGAAATCACCAGAGGGCAGAGCCAGAGCCTCATTCATATACAGAGCCAAGCACAGCTCTGGGGTTCAGCCAGCACTCAACAAACCCTCAGATGGACCAAAAAAGAGGCTCCCAGGATGGTGTGGGGGGGGGGGAGGTGGTGACCAGAGCTCTAGCCTCACACCAAGGGAAAGGGACCGCCGAAAAAGCCAAGCAAGACCCACACAAAATCACAGTAGGAGTCAAAAGACCAGAGGGGCACAGTTCATGGACTGTGGAATCACATCAGCCTGCGTTCGAATCTTACCTCTGTCACTTACTGTGTGACCATGGGCAGGTTACAGAGCCTGCCTGGGCCTTAGTGTCCTCATCTACAACACAGAGTGGGTTATAATACCCACTCACAAAAAGTCTTTGAGAGCATTAAATGAGATAATGGATACATGGCACCTCCTCAGTAAATTAACTCTTAGAACACTGTGTGAACTCTCTAGGTCACCTTTGGAGTAATTATAAAAGTTCACAACCTCATAGTTACTATCTGTCATTTCCTTAGAAGTAGAAATTCTTATGATCCCCATTTTGTAAGTGAGGAAACTGAGGCTCAGGGAAGTGAACATTCTCACCGGGGTGTTCAGTGAGGGGAGGGTGCCGGTCAGCACTGGCTCTGAGTCTGGACTCAGCCGGGGCCGACAGCAGCGAGAGGGAAGGTAGGCAGCTCACTCTCCGTCAGCTGTCATCACAGGGACCTGAGGCCAGCGCTCTGGGTCCCTTTTGGCCAACATTCTGCCCCAGGAGTCAGGTTTCAGCTGACGCTGGATAGACCCTGACTCCCTGCCCAGCCAGGCTTGGAGTCCCATGAGTAGCCAATGCCAGGCCTTAGCCCCAGGCTGCCCTTAAGCCTGCCGCATGCCTTCGTTCCAGTGGATCTGCCCCTCCTGCCTGCCAGAAAGCAGGACCAGCAGCGGCTGAAAGAGTGGGAATGGGTGATGCAGCAGCAGCTGTTGGCATGCAAGAGATGCAGGAGTCCCGTGCAGCAAATTCACCCGACAGGGCTGCTACTCTTTATATGAATCAGAGAAAAGTACCTTCTCTGGGTGAACAAGCCCCATGCGAAGGCTTAGAGAGTAGAGTGTGGGTTGGATTTTGCCGCCTGCCCCCTGTGCAGTGAACAACATACACAACCACCCAGGGCAGCCCTGCCTACCAAGCACCACGGAGAGGCCAAGTTCCGAGCTGAGCACTGAAATAAAGAGATGGCTCAAATACAGCACGAGCTTCTGAGAAGCTCATGGGAAGCTGAAGTGCCAGGAGAATACAGGGAGGGATCACTTAACCCTCTCTGGAGAGAGGGTTAGAGGCCCTAAGGTAGGCTAATGGGAGAAAGTAGTGATATTCAGGCTCTCAAGAAAAAAAAAAAAAGTTGGATTTATAGTGTTTGTCAATATCCATAGTGTAAATGTTCCCACCAGGAGTGACTTCAAGGTAGCCACGCGCCATCCCTGAGGTGGAGTGAGGAGAGATGCTTGCAATCAGCTCTGGCAAGCTAGCTCTGGAACACCGCTCGCTGGGAGGAGAGGCTTCAACTGAATCCAGAAGGAAGAGGAGGATTCTCCAGGCAGAGGAGGGGTAGGGGCAGGAGAGGACATTCCAGGAGGAGAGAGAACCAAGAGCAAAGACATGGAGGTGCACAAGTAGAGAGTTTTCAAGGGGTTACGGCTGGGAAGGGCTGTCAAAGCCTCGGGAGCCCGGTGATGCTTTAGTTCTGGACTCGCACAGGACCACGTGCCTGCCATGATTCATAAGCTGCACACTAAAGTTTTGTGCACTTTTCCATATGTGTGTGTGATATTTTACAGTAAGGATGAAAAGTACAGATAGTCTCATTCAGGAATAACTGCTATCTACAATTTTGTTATATTTCCTTCCAATCTTTTTTCTATGCACGTATTTATATGACCATCCGGCAAACATTTTGAGGTAGGAAAACAAAAGTTCCCTATCCAGAGCCCATAAAGAAGAAAGCATTTTAACATGAAAAGCAATGTGGCATCACGGAAAGAGTGTGGGCTTTGGAATCACAGAGACCTGAATTCGAATCCCGCCTCCCAAGTGCTAAGTGGGTGGTGCTGAGAAAGTTGCTTGTCCTAGCCTGTCCAGGCTGCTTCTCAGCTGCAGACTGAGCAGATAATACCCACATCCTGCAGGGTGGTTAGGAAGGTCAGAGATGATGTGTGTAAGGTGCATCGCACACAGCCCAGCCCACCATAGACCCTTAACACAGGCAACATATAAGATATGGTAGCCAGCATCATCTTAGAAAGTCAGAACTGAAAGAGTTGCCCTGATAATAACTGTCTGAACCACAGAAGTTACAAAGAAATGGTAACCCCATTAGGAGAAAGTCAAACTAGTATTTGCCCAGAGAATAGACTCAGTGGTAAGGAGACTGACTCAAAAGCCCACTGAGTGGGGCTGGGGGAGGGTGTTTGAAGAAAATAGGGATATTTAGCCTGGTGGGGAAGACTCCAGTGGTTTATAAGATCTGTGCCCCAGATGTGTCCCACGTGCAGCAGAGAACAGAATTAAATCCAATAAACAAGACTTGCAGGAAGCTGATTTCTACTGGATATGGGGAGGGATATTCTCACTAAGAACTGAAGGGGTGATCTTGGTAAGGAGTGAGCTCCCATCACTAGGGGTATACAAGCAGAACCTGGCAGAGCACTTGATGGACATGATGAAGAAGGAAGATGAGCATGGTGGAGGGTGTGGACCAACGACCTTTGGGGCGCCTTAAGGCTGGGCCCTGGATCTGCTCTGTCCAGCAGCACCTACCCAACCATCCATCAGTACATGGCAAGTGCAGAACCGTGCGCATCCTGTAGTGAAGGACACGAAAAGACCCTTGTGCATCTAACCTGGTTATCGATTTTCAGTTCCACTAGAGAAGTGTTGTATGGAAGAGCTTCCACCAGGTGCAGGACGCCGGCTCCGGAAATGAAGTTGGATTCCACGTTCAGCGTCTTCAGCACCTTATTTACCTTGAGCATCTCCGCAAGGGCCTTGAAGCACAGGATAAAAGCAAGGGTACCTGTGAGTCACCCTGAGCAAGGCTGGAGCCCCTCTTGGGTAGAGCCTAAAATACTAAGAGGGCCTTGCTGGGAGCAAGAGTTCCTTGCGCACTCCTGCTGCGCGAGCCAGGGACCAGGCAAGACGATCTCTACAACCTCCTTCACGAAGCACAACTCCCGTGTCTCTCCTCCCCTCCAATGCACCATGGCTCCCAAACCCCTAACTGGAGAATTCCATACCCCTTAGCCAGCATCCAGCCTCCATCACCTGGTTCTCCTCCCTTGCTCGGCCTCAGGGCTCACTGCTCCCTTACAGTCGGGCTGATCTTAGCTTTGGGCATGGCTGGTGCTCTCCCACTGCTTTGCCTTTGCTCATCCTGTCCCTGCTGCCTGGGATGCCCTTTCCTTTCTACTTTACTTTGTCCAAACCCTGCCTGTCCTTCAAGGCTATGCTCAGTTCCTCTCCGGGAGCCTTCATACTGATGGCCCCAGCTAGCTGCGGCCTGACCTCTTGCGGTTTGTAGAATTTATCCATAACCTCCCTCATGGAACTTGTATTCCTCTGTTCAGAGTTGTTTTTATACTGGTGTTGTCTCTGCCATTAGACTCTCTGCTCTTGGTGGGATGAAAATGCACCTTATTCATCCCATGGTGCCCACGTGCTCAGCACACAGTAGGTTCTCGGTAACGGTTCACTGAGTGACTAGCGGAGTCCCTACCTCCCTATATACCCTCCACTTGTCACTTCTATTTCCCTGTTGGGATTCCATGGAGTCATTGTTCTCTTCATCTGAGCAGCAGAGAGCAGAGAAGGATGCCTGGGAAACCACCCCACTGGGCAAGTGACCAGGGCAAATGGGAGGAGAGGAGCTCAGGTGGCCCCCAGCACGTTTCAGAGGAATTCAGCCAAGGGGGTGTAGATAACAATCAGAGCCTCTGAGGGAAATGAGGTAATTAGCAGTTGGTGGAAACGATGTGTCATGGAGGAAAGGGGACACCAGCAGCTGATAGCCCAAGATGTACCACAGTGGGCCCTGGTTGTCTGAAATGACTCTCTGAGCCAGGAACACCCTTCCTACCATCCCTGCTTGCCAAAACCCTATACAAGCTCAGCTCCCAGAAAACCTTCCTTGTTGAAATCGTCCTTCCCTCCTCCCCCTGTTTCCATGTGCCCCCAGGATGCAATGCTGGCTTTCTCTAGGACCCTGAGGAGGTTGGACACTCCTGAGGAGAGGGCCCCAGGCTATGTTCTTTCCACAACATCTCTTTTGCTCCCCACAGAAGGCCTGTCCAGGCCTGATGATCAAAATATTTAATAACTGATAAGCAAGTGCACCAGGCCAATCCAAGTGAAACAGCTGGTGGCTGAGCAGGTCCTAGAGACCCTGTCATGCCAGGTGTCAACTCTTTTCTGGATCATGGTAGAGGAATGGGGGTGCAGGGAGAGGAGCTGGGGCAGGGAGTGGGGGCACTTACAGAGCTTTTCACTCCCATGTAGAATTTAAGAAACAAATGAACAAAGAAAAAAAAAGAGATACACACAAAAATAGACTCTTAAATACAGAGAACAAACTGGTGGTTGCCAGAGGGGAGGTGGGTGGGAGGATGGTTGAAATGGATAAGGGGGATTAAGAGTACACTTGATCTTGATGAGCACTGGGAAACTTATAGAAATGTTGAATCATTATATTGAACATCTGAAACTATTATAACATTAATTATACTTCAATTAAAAATTAATTTTTTAAAAGCATTGATTGCTACTAAATAGACTTCAAAACCAGGAAAGTTATCAGGCATAAAGAAGGGCATTACAGAATGACAAAGGGGTCATTCTCCAAGAAGACATAACAATTCTTAATGTATATGTGCCTAACTACAGTGTCAAGCTGTAAGTAGCAAAAGCTGATAGAACTACAAGGAGAAAGATGAATCACTGCTAGAGTTGGAGATTTCAATAGCCCTCTGTCAGAAATGGAAAGATCCAGAAGGTTGAAAATCAGTAAGGACATAATTGAACTCAATAACACCATCAGTCAACTGGACAGAAGTGGGACATTTAGAGGCTACTTCATCCTACAACAGTAGAATACACATTCTTCTCAAGTTCACATGGAACATTCACCAAGATAGATCACATTCTGGGCCATGAAACACACTTTAACAAATTTAAAGGAACAGAAATCATACAACATCTGCTCTCGGAACTCAGTGGAATTGAACCAGAAATCAGTAACAGAAAGATAACTTTGAAAATCCCCAAATATTGCATGGTGATTAAACAACACATTTCTAAATAACACATGGGGCAAAAAAGAAACCTTAAGAGAAATTAAAGTTTTTGAACTAAATAAAAATGAAAACATACCTTATTAAAATTTGTGGGATGCAGTGAAAGTAGTGTCTAGAGGGAAATGTCTAGTATTGAATGCATATATTAAAAAAGAAGAAAAATCTAAATTCAATAATCTAAGTTTCCATTTTAGAAAACTTTTAGAAGAGCAAATTAAATCCAAAGTAAGCAAAAGAAAATAAATAAGAATTAGAGCAGAAATCAATGAAGCTGAAAATGGAAAATCAATAGAGAAAATCAGTGAAGTAAAAAGTTGATTCTTTGAAAAGATCAATAAAATTGATAAGCCTCAAGCCAGGCTAAGAAAAGAGAGAGAGAGAGAGAACACAAATTACTAATATCAGAAATGAAAGAGGCCCATTACTACAGATCCCATGGAAATTGAAAGGATAATAAAGGGATACTATGAACAACTCTTAAATCCACAGATGTGATAACCTGGATGAAATGGACTAATTCCTTGAAAGACAATTTGCCAAAGCTCACATAAGCAGAAATAGACAATTTGAATAGGCCTTTACCTACTAAAGAAATAGAATCAATAATTTATAACCTTCCAAAACAGAAATCACCAGGCCCACATGGTGAATTCTACCAAATATTTAAGGAAGAAATGATACCAATTCTCCACAATCTCTTTCAGAGAATGGAAGCAGAGGGAATACTTCCTAACTCATTCTACGAGGCCAGCATTATCCTTATACCAAAACAAAGACATTACAGGAAAACTACAGACCAGTATCTCTCATGAACATAGATGCAAAAATCCTCAAAAATATAGCAAATTGAATCCAACAATGTATAAAAAGGTTATACACCATGACGAATGGGATTTATCCCAGGTATGCAAGGCTGGTTCAACATTTGAAAATCAATTAATGTAACCCATCACATCAACAGGCTAAAAAAGAAAAGTCACATGATGTATCAATAGATGCAGAAAAAGCATTTGACAAAATCCAACACCCGTTCATAATAAAAACTCTCGGTAAATTAGAAATAGATGGGAACTCTCTCACCTTGGTAAAGAATATCTACAAAAAGCCTACAGTTAACATCATGCTTAATGGTAAGAAACTGGAAATGTTATTACTAAGATTAGGTACAAGGCAAGGATGAACCCACTCACCATTCCTTTTCAACATCAGAATAGAAGTTCTAGCTAATGCAAAAAAGCAGGAAAAGGAAATCAAATATGTATATATTGAGAAGGAAGAAATAAAACTGTCTTTGTTTGCAGCTGATATGATTGTCTCTGTAGGACATCTGAAAGAATTGACCAAAAACAAAAAAACAAAACAAAAAAACCCTCCTGGAACTAATAAATGATTATAGCAAAGTTGCAGGATACAAGGTTGATATATAAAAACTAATCACTTTCCAGGGCGCCTGGGTGGCTCAGATGGTTAAGCGTCTGCCTTCGGCTCAGGTCATGACCCCAGGGTCCTGGGATCGAGCCCCGCATCGGGTTCCCTGCTCAGCGGGGAAGCCTGCTTTCCCCTCTCCCTCTCCCACTCTCCCTGCTTGTGTTCCCTCTCTTGCTGTGTCTCTCTCTGTCAAATAAATAAAATCTTTAAAAAAAAAAAAAACAAAACTAATCACTTTCCTATATTCTAGCAAAGGAACAAGTGGAATAGGAAATTAAAAATACAATACCATTTGCATTAGTACCCTCAAAAGTGAAATACTTAGGTATGGAGCTAACAAAATATGTAGAAGATCCTATACGAGGAGAGCTACAAAACTCTGATGTATAAAAATAAAAAACTAAATAAATAGATATTCCATGTTCATGGATAAGAAGACTCAATATTGTCAAGATATCAGTTCTTTCCCACTTGATCTACAAGTTCAATGCAACCCCAGTCAAAATTCCTGCAAGTTATTTTGTGGATATTAACAACCTGATTGCTGCTAAATGATTAACTGCCATCCCTGGTAAGCTAATTTTTGCACTTTTAACCTATTAGTGTTGTAATAATCATACTATACTGTCAGCCTTTAGTTGTCTGCATGGCCAAATGGACCGTTGTGTTCATGAAAGTGGGAGCTATGACTGTAGGTCACAGTTGTATTCTCAGAGCCTAATTCAGTGCTGGACCCAGATTCTCAATAAATATGTTTGAATGTTAAGAAAAAAAGAAAAAAGAATTGATGGTTACTTTATAATAAGTACAATTTAATTTGATCAGCAATATCTTTAAGACTTGGGCAAAAAACAAATAAAATTGATCATCAGGACCCATTGAGTAAGACAATGATTTTAAATATAGAGAAACTGAAGCCAAGGGAGGGGCAGGTCCTTATCCAAATGTGATGTGCCGAGTGGAGACAGATCCGCTTTAGAATTAACAAGACTTGCATTTAAATCTTAGCTCCACTTCTCACTTGCTGTGCAACTTTGGACAAAGCAAAATGCCTGAACTCCCTGCACCCCAGGTTCTTCATCTGCAAAGTGGGGAGACCTGCATCCCTGAGATCAGGGGTGGCTGTGGATATTAACTAGGATAATGTACGGATGTTGCCTGGGTAATGGCCCTTGTGTTCACATCATCTCCTGGCTCCTGGCCCATTGCCTTTCACCATGCCATACAAGGTTCTTCCTCAGTGGGGTTCGGCCAGTCCTGAGGCCACAAGCATCAATCATTCCGTTTCTATGCCCCCCACTCCCAATGCAGCAGAACTGAAAGGTACATACATGCGCCACAGGGTCATTGCTCCGTGTTCCCACGATGCTGAACTTCTTCACATATGAGTTATCTTTCAGGGCTTCTGCATACGCCTTGAGAGTGGGTATGGGGATATTCTGCAGAGAGAAAGGCAGGCAATGAGGAGCAGCCCCGACCAGGGTCAGGCTGGGCAGACAAATGGGGCAGTAACCCTCTCACACATGCAGCCTGATTGCTAGTAGGTCTCTGACCAAAGAGCTGAATAGGTAAAGGGTTTTCGGGCTTTGCCCCACATGGCTGAGATTTAGAGAGAACTTCCTGGTAAACAGATTGGGAAAATCCTCCCTGACAATTTCCGGTAGGACCCACAACTATCTGTGCAGGTGGAAACCAGAGAAGGAAAAATCAAGGCAGAGGATGCAGAGGAGTGTTGTGCCGAGAGCTCAGGACTGGGGTGTGGGAGTGGGCAGGGTCTTGGCCTCTGCCCGGACAGCTGGCCACGTTTCTGACTCTCTCTGTGACTCTGGGCGAAGTCGCCCCCTCTCTCTGGACCTGTTTCTGGAAAACCAAGGTGGGGGCTGGGCGCTGCACTAGATGATCTCTAGGAGACATCTGTCCCAAAGGTTCTCAGGCGTACTGCACATCAGAGGCTCCTGGGGAACTTTTATAAAATGCTGATGAGTGGGTCTGAACCAGACCAATAAATTCAGAATCTCGGGGTGGGGGCGGGGTGGGCATTGGCAGAGATTTCTTAATCTTTTTAGGTGGAAACCACTGATCTGGTCCAACTTTCTCACGTGCATGAGGGAAACTGAGGCCTAGAGAAGGATGAGCCTGTGGCCCCAAGGTGAAGGCGCACAGCCACGGCCGGTTCCACACCCCTACGCCACTCCGAGCCAGTGTTCACTGCCAGGGTGCAGAGTTCTGAACTGTGCCAGGGCCTCCCACTGGCCACACAGCAGACAATGGAGGCACCCGAGAGGAAACCTGGCTGTGTTTGCACGGATCTCTCATTTCAGAGAGTTACGTTAGCTCCCCGTGGGAGCAAAGCCTGGGGAGGGAGGCCAGGTGGAGGAGAACACTGCAGGCGCAGGTTTCCAATCAGATTATGCCGTGGGGCTGGCAGCCACTTAAAAGAAAGTGGAGAAGAAAGAAAAGAGGAGCTGGGGAGTGGGGGGACCACTTCTTACCTTACCCCACAGCCTCCCAGAACTAATCCTCCTGGCCTCTGGGCTGAGCAGGTGGGCAGGCAGCTGGTCCTGCTTCTGAATTCCCCCTGCAGCCTGTCCAGGGTAGGACTGCTTGTCCATCTGACCCTCCTCTGCCCTTGGTGGTCACACAGGAAACATGCGACACATATGGGCCCACAGCTCCCTGCCAGGGCTGCAGAATGAGGCTGACCATACGTCTGATAGAGCGCAGATGGCTCAGGGCTTGGCCCGTCCCAGGGCTGTGGGACCCCACATGCCTGCTGGGCACAGGCTTTTTCCAGCCTTGGGATCCCCGGCAGTCAGGTGTGTCTGACTTAGGATTTTTAGCTCGGAGAAGCTCTCAGTGTTTCCAATAACAAGGCAGGTTTCCAGAATCAAAGCCTTGTTGGCCCATGGTGAACCTGGGCCTGAAGAAACCAGGGCTATAGGACATGTTTGTTGACGATGCCCAGGCCTTTTAGAGGTTTTGCCCCCTTCCTGACCCAGAAGCACCCAGACCCCAAACTGGACCCTGTTCTCTCCGCACAGCCAAGCCTGGGCCACAGGCATCGGGGTACACAGATATGGCTCCTCCCACCCGCCCCAGGTGAAGCTAAATAAAAAGGACTTTACCCGGATATTGTTGAGGTTAACCTCCTCAAGTTTGGGGTCATTGTTCTTTATCCGCTCCAGGGTTTCCTCAACGTCTGTTGAATTTGGCTCTTCATCGGGCACAGGCTTGTACTGTGTCGGTTTGATCACGCCTAGAGTGACCGACAAAAGAGAGGTGGCTCACAGAAACACGGGGACTCTCTCCCTCCACACCGGGATTCTCTGGAAGGAAGCGGTGGCTGGGTTCAGGCACAAGAGAAGACTGCGCATTCCTGGGGCGATGGGTGGGGGGCGGGCAGGTGGGAGGTGGGGTCGGGGCGGGGGAGAGAAGCGCTGGCTGTGCCCTGCTTGGACTCGGCCTTTGCCCTCCTACAAGGACTGGGTGAATGACTGAAACCCTCTGACCTTCTGTGTCCTCATCTGTAAAGTGTCGGTCAGTCACTCTACCTCAGTGGACTCTTGTGAGGATAAAATGAAGCCTGAACGTGAGAGAAGCGTGTAAGCTTTCCAGAGAGGGGGACCTTATTCTTCTGCCACCCTCACCGCTTTTGGGGGCCGAAATGCCAGCTTGGGACAATGCAGTGGAGCAATGAAAACAATGCAATATGGTCACAGGAGAAGACAAGGGCACTCACGGAACAAAAGAGGCACCAGGAGACAGACCCGTGTGGATGTGTAGAAACTCATGATCATGGTGGAGTCCCCAGCCAGCGGTGAAGGGATGGGCTTTGCAAAGAACAGTATTGTCCCCGTGGGAGAGCCATTAAAAAATGACAGTTTGATCTCATCTCACACCACACCCAAACACGGACTGCAGGTGGAGTAAGAAGTTGGATACAAGAGGCAAACCTCTAAAACTTTTAGAAGAAAATACAGGAGGATATTTGTATCACATTAGAATGGAGAAGTCCTGCATAAACAAGACACAAATCCCGGCAAAGGAAAAGGAAAAGGTGGATAGATTTGGCTACATAAAAATTTAAAATGTCTGCAATGAGCCAGAGAGCATGAATACGCAGAGAAGCAAGAAGCGTGGGGATGTTTTCACTTCAAGGCGTCCTCGCTGGGGGCAGGGGAGGGGGCGCCAAAGCTGGGGATCAGGGCCGTGTACTCACTGTTGAGTCCCTCCTTGTTCACGATGGAGCTGCTGCCCAAGGCCTGGTAGTATTGCTGGTTGCTCATGAGCGTGTGCATGCCCAGGATAGCTGCGGGGACAGGGGAAGGGCCCGTGCCTCGCCTCTTTGCAACAGAAGAGCCTCCGGAGCATGGACATTCCACAGCCCAGGAGTTTTTGCTCATGGAAATGGCAAGAAACACTGCATGATTTTAAGTTTGACTTTTACTCTCATCTCTCTTTATGTTGCTCTCAGATCTCTACACCCAGCTGAGACTTTTTTTTTTATTTTTTTATTGTATTGTTAATCCCCATACATTACATCATTAGTTTTAGATGAAGTGTTCCATGATTCATTGTTTGTGCATAACACCAGTGCTCCATGCAGAATGTGCCCTCCTCAATACCCACCACCAGGCTAACCCATGCTCCCACCCCCCTCCCCTCTAGAACCCTCAGTTTGTTTTTCAGAGGCCATCGTCTCTCATGGTTCGTCTCCCCCTCTGATTTCCCCCCCTTCATTCTTCCCCTCCTGCTACCTTCTTCTTCTTCTTCTTTTTTTTTTTTCCTTAACATATATTGCATTATTTGTTTCAGAGGTACAGATCTGAGATTCAACAGTCTTGCACAATTCACAGCGCTTACCAGAGCACATACCCTCCCCAGTGTGTATCACCCAGTCACCAGCTGAGACTTTCTTAACCCCGGCCTCAGATTCCTAGGTGCCTCCCAATGTCCCACAGGTGCCTCCAGCCCAGCTTGGCCAAAAGAGAACTCGTCCTCCCCAGCAACAGCCCCTTCCTTTGGATCACCTTCCATCTTGGTATCCTGCCTGTCCCCTCAGGGTGGAACCTCAGTCACATGGCTAAGTTCCCCTCCCTCCTAAACACTGTCTCTCATCTGTCCCACCTCCCATTCCATCGCCTCTGTCCTGGCTGAGGCCCTTCCATTTTGTGGTTGTATTATCACAGCCGTGTAATCACTGCTGTCCTGGCCCGGTCTCTTCCTACCCTCCCCCCACCAGCATTCAGCACAGAGCAGCCAGAAAGATCTTTCTGGAAAAGCAGATCTGACCACATCACTCCTGTGCTCAGTCAGGCTTTCATCCATTCATTTGTTCAACGTTTACTGAGTGCTCACATCATATGCCTGGCTCTGGGTGGGGTGGTGGTGGAGGGAGGAGGGGAATTGGGGGTGGGGGTTGGGAGGGAGTGGGGCTGTGTGTGGGAGGCAGCAGGGAACAACGAAGTCTACTGGGGGAGAGATGCTAGGAAGGTACCTACACAGTTGAAAACATAAGCACAGAGTATACGTGTTGTAAAAGAAAAGTTCAGTGTGTTCTGGGAGAAGAGAACAGAGGGAGTTGGGATGGGAGGGATGAGTAGTATTGGCCAAGTCAAGAGAAAGGAGGTAGAACATTCTGGGCAGGCAGAGGGAATGGTGGGTGGGAAAGCCCTCAGCTCAAGGAGTGGAAGGCTAGGGCAGGAATGGGAAACAGGATGGACAGAGCTGAGCTGGACACATGGTGGACCGCCACCCCCCCCCCCCTCACTGCATGCTTGCTCAGGGCCAGAGAATATATGTCAGTGATTCTCAGTTTGGCTGCACACTGGAATCACTGGGGCATCTTTTCAAACTCCTGATGCCCAGGCCTACCCCAGACCAATTAAACCAAAATCTCTAGGGGTGGGGCCAGGCATTTGCCTTTTTCAAGCTCCCTAGGTAGTTACAGGGGGCAGCCAAGCTTGAAAACTGCCTGACACCATCCCCCTGAATCCTCCCAACAACGCTTTGGAGTAGATTTAATTCAAACAGGCACGTTGAGATCCTGCAGGGTCTTCTGGGTTGAGGTAAGGAGTTCGTAGGTCTTCCCCTAGGTGCGGCCAGGAAGCCACTGGATGCCTTAGCAGGGACTGAGATGGCCTGACTCAGTTCTGGGAGTGTCACTCTGGCTGTGTGTGGAGACAGAGGGAGGGAAGGACACGGGGACTGTGAGGCTTTGCAGGCACCCGGGTGGGAGGATGGTAGCTTGTGGCCCCACCAGCCCTCCCTGGGCCAGCTGCTTCAGTGGCTTGTCCCTCACCCGCACCCTTTCTGTTCCCGTGACAAAATGGCCACAGCTCGGTGCGTTCTCCCGCTTCTGTCAAGACTGTGCCCTCTACCGGTGACTCTCTCTCCATCTGCCTTGTGCTGCCCGTAGGGTTGCTAGATTTAGCAAATGAAAATACGGGACACTCAGTTAAATTGGAATTTCAGATAGGCATGAATAATATTTTATTTTATTTTTTTAAGATTTTATTTATTCATTTGACAGAGACACAGCGAGAGAGGGAAGCAACGAATAATATTTTAGTATAAGTGTGTCCCATTCTGTATTTGGGATCTACTTATATTAAAAACTTAGTCATTGTTTATCTGAAATTCAAATCGAACTGCGCATCCTGTATTTGACCCAACAACCCTACCTTCCTATCCTTAAGACTTGGACTAACACTTCTTCTCTCAGGGAGGCTCCTGGGATCCTCCCTTGCCCTCCCTACTTCTCCCACCGCACCTGCTGTGCTTATCCCAGCACAGTCTACATAGTGTTAGAGGTAGCTGGGTGCATGCGTGCTTCCTCTGCCAGACTTTGGGCTTCCAGAGGTGGGGGAAGAATATTACCTCTCTTCCTCCTCCTCCAGAATACAGTATTTGGTAAATATGTGCTGATGGATTTTATGTTAATTCCCCTGGCCATTTCATTAGACATGATTTCTAGTGAGAGAGACTACATGAGAGCCCTTGGTGAGGAGTCAGGAGACCCAAGTTCCAGTCCTGACTATACCCCTGATTCTGTGTGACCTGGGGCAGGTCCCTAGCCCTCTCTGGGCTTCAGCCTCCTCTGTGAGAGAAGGGGAAAGACAAGACCTTTGGTTCTCTATCCCAGCTGCACATATAAATCACCCGCAGCTTCACGACAATATTGGTGCTCCCCTGGACCAGCTGAACTGAATCTCTGCAGATATATTTTTAATCTCCTTGCATGATTTTGATGCTCAGTGGGCTGAGAACCACAGGATGAGACGATCTCAAAGCCCTTCTGTTTCTCACATTCTAAGAATCTTCTCTGCTAAAATTAGACTCTCCTGCTCATCACTGAGGAGAACTGACAGGGAGAGGCATCTGCATTTTTTAGAGCTCTCTAGGTTTTAATTTAGGCTGCTTCTACGTAGGCAGTGGGGGCCATGGCCTGAGTCAGCAGCAGTGGGGTTCAGCTCACCAGGAGCCACCTTCTGAAGCTGACTCTTCCTGCTCCCACATGGGTCCGTGGGGGTGTGTGGCTTGTGGTGGTTCTGGGCTGCTGCTGGGACCCCCGTTTGGAAAAACAGTTTGGAAAGGTTGTTAAGAATCAGAGGAAAGATGGAACATCATATGGCTGGCTGGTCTTGCTGAGAGGTATAGAGAGGTGGGAGATGGAAAATGCATTTTGTGCTTGATGCCAGCTTCCTGTAATGGTCCAGAAAGGGGGGCAGGAACATTACAAGGAAGTGCCCGGGGACAGAGGAAAGAGACCTGGGTCCAGGCTGGGCTTTGGTACCAATTTGCTGGGCAACCTTGTCCAGGACATTTCCACTTTTTTGGGCCTCAGTCTTTTCACCTACAAAGGGGAGCATGTTTGAATGCCAATCTCTTACCCTCATGTAGCACCTAATGGTCACACAACATCTTATCTTTTTTTTTTAAATTGTGTTCAGTGAGCCACCATATAGTGCATCGTTGGTTTTTGATGTACTGTTCAATGATTCATTAGTTACGTATAACATCTCATCTTTTTATCCCGTTTGATTTTTACAAGAGGGCAGAGCAGGCTCAAGAGGGAAATGGTTTGTCAAAGCTTGCTCAGTGAGGACCCTCCTGGCTTCTAAGTGAGTGGTCCCATCCACTCCTCCACAAATTAGGTCATTAGTAGTTCCAAAGTTCTAAAATGTCCCCGCCCCATGTCAGAGTTCTAAGGATAGATAACACGCCTATTCTAGGAGGCAACATACATGTCAATAGCGGTCCTCAGAAGAAATAAAATTGTTTGTAGTTCAGAGGAAGTTAGGGTTCAAGGAAGGAAGGAAGGTAGGATGGAAGGAAGGAAGGTAGGAAGGAAGGAAGGGAGGGAAGGAGGGAAGGAGGAAGGAAGGGATAGAGGAGAGGGGAGGGACTTGGGGTGGGGGCGGGAGGCACCAAGCAAAATCTCCATTGCTGAGCAGACTGCTTGGTGGCTCCGATCCTCCGACCTGCCCTAGGCACCAAATCATGACTCCCCCCTTGCTTGGTTTTGCACACTCATGTCACCAGAAGTGAATGATAGAGGAAAACAGTACATCAGCATTGCCTGCCACTTCATTCTTTGTAGATATTGGCAAGGCTGAATTTAGCACTGGGGAACATGATTTTTTTTTTTTTTTTTAAGACCAGATCTTCCTCAAAACTCAAAAAGGACTATTTTTGAACTCTGAAAAAGAACATCGAGTTCCCCTTCCTCTTCTGCCTTGGCAGGGTTCACTCAGTTTGCAATTCCACTTAGGATGCAGAGAAATTGTAGCACACGTCCTGGGCCCCCCGGCCGCCAGCTGCTTGGCTGGCCCCGGGCAGAGAGCAGACAGCGGGAAGGTGTTTTCCTGCATCACAGAAACTGGTGGGAGAAGCCAGCTTCGGCCCAGGACTTGGGTGCAGTCAAACCGCTCCAGGAGAAGCCACATGCTGCCCCTGGCAGAAGATGAGGAAAACCAATGCCTAAGGATGTGAGAGGACCCCAGAAGCCGGGGTCGGTGGGCCAAGACTGTCTCTGAGAGTCACAAGAGCTGGGGGTGCCAACAGCCCGGGGGGCGGCCTGGGGACGGGGCCCTTCTGAAGGGAGAGTCTCTTCCCACCAATTCCCTTTTGGGTCTTGCCCCACCCGAAGGGTCCCTAAAGGTGAGTCAGGATCACATCCCTGACTGGGGAGAGGAGGCACTGATAATGCCAAGTGCTTGCAGTGGACTCCCAGTGGCCTCTGCGTTACAACCCAAGGCCACGAGCCAAAAACTCAGCACCATCAGGGCCCTGTGCATTCTGCTCATTACCCCGTGGTCACACTTCTCATGTTGAAATGTATATGCTTCTGGTCTGTCCTCCTCCTCACCTCCTGGGTCCCCCGAGGGCAGCACCTAGATCTGATGCATCCTAGCACACAGTAGCTTGACAATGCACGTGGGCTCAATGTGCAAATGAATGCATGCACGAGTGGTACACAGACAAGAAAACCAACGAACAAATGAGAGTCCACAGCTTTGCCTTCCCCGGGCACACCGGAGTCGGTGTGACTCATCTGCTGGGTGTCCCTATCGCTGCCGAATGTCAAGCCTGCAGGATGTGTACCAAGCAAGCCACTCAGAGGGGCTCAGGGCCTCTCTCCTGCTGTGTCCCAGCCTGGGACACGTCTCCCCCACTCCCCACAGTTCACCCCTGTTCTTCCTCCTCGTGGCTCAGCTTCAGCCTCTATCCTCATGCCCGCCTGCCCCAGCACCTAACCAAGCCCCCTTCTTGCACCCTGTCCTTTCTCTGTACGACACTCACTCTCATTTGTCACTTCTTATTGGCCTAAGTATTTGCTGAACGTCAGCTCTGTGAGGGCAAGAGCCCACTGTCTCCGGACACTTCTCTACCAGGGCTCGTCCAGAGCCGGGCACACACAGTGGGAAGACGCTGGATAAATGGCTGCTGAGTATGTGAATGAGGGAACAAAAACTAAGTTAATGGAAAGCTCTGCCTGGGAGCGAAGTCCTTTAGACTCGAAATGCCCCGCAGACCCTATACCCTCCTCGCCTTACTTTTCTTTCTCTGCTGAGTCCTCCACACTCATGGCTCCAGCAACCCCATCCTTGAGAGAGATCTGAACCTCCAGCTAGCCACGCCAGACGCTCACACAAGGTCCCGCCTCTACTGCCTGTGGTGTTTTTGAATAGACCCCTGGCAAACAGCTCTTCCTGCACACACACCCCGCCCCTCCCCCCCCCCCCCCATCTTCTGGCACCTCCGGCCAGAATGCCTCGCGTCCTCCTGACAACTTGGCCTCTTGGCCTCAGGTCCAGCGCTAGGAACAGCTGCACCTCAGACAGTCCCCAAATAACCCACCTTAGCCCTTGACCTTCCCTGGGGCCTGCCCCCTACATCCCCCCATCCTCTGAGCACCACCACCTGTGCCTAAACCTTTGCTTTCATCTGGCCTCTCCCAACGCTCCCCTCAGCCCCACTGACCTTAAGGGGTCAATGGCCTCCTGTGACATACAGAGACTTTCCTAACATGGCCCCACGCTCCCCCCAGCCGGCTCCATGGGGTTTGGCGGTGAACCTCCTCTTGCCCACCCTCTGTGGCCCCTCAGAGGATGGCTTCATCTGGGTCGTGGGATCTGGTGCTCTAGGAGGAGGAGCGTGCCCTCGGAGGAAGCTGCCTGGGTTCAAGTCCCACGGGCTAGGCATTTAATGTCACCGTGCCTCCTTCCTCCATCCATCAAACAGGGACAACGGTAACACTTCTTAGGATTTCTGTGGTCAAGAAATGCAGCAAGGTACTAGAAGCAACCCCCACAGCACCTGGGCCATAAGGGGGTGGTCGACAAGTATGCCGTCCCTCCTTCCCCAGAGCCCCCGCCACCTTTCAAAGGCCTGATACGCAGTGGCCGGCGCCCAAGGTCAGCCAGTGGATGCTGGTGTTGACTTACAGCTCCCCTTCTCCTCTCCGGACAACGGAAGGGTATGGTATCATGAACAGAAAATAGTAATCAGCCACGCCAACAAAAATAAAGGGAAATTGTTTCAAGAAACCAACACAGACACGTAGCGCGATGCTGCAGTTCTATTTTGACAAAGGCACTGGCGGTTCTGACTGTGGAGCCATTCGATAGTCCCTCCGAGCTGCCTGATGAGGGCCGTGACATCACGGAGCGCCAGCAGAGGAGAAGGGCTGGGATAAAAACAGCCCCAGGGTGAGTCAGTGTGGACATGCTGGGCCACGGTGTCACCCAGCCACCTCCCTGCTGCACAGCTTAACTGGAAGTCAGGGGGCCCCCAGCCACGGAGATGGTTTGCTGGAAATAGAGGAGCATAGTGAGGACCCTAATATGATTTTCGCGGCTTTTAATAAACCAAATGTGGAAGTGCAAAGCGAACCAGCGAAGTTCCCCCAGTTAGGCGCTCCATTCCCATCTGGGTGAAATATTTGCTGCTTCTGTACTCTGCGGCGAAAACGAAAGCCTTTCTCTCTCAGCCCCGACACCCTGCAAACCACTGCCCCGTGACCTTTCCCGGATGTTCGGCGTCGTGAGGAGAACGGTTCTTTGGACTCAGAATCTACACGTTGGCTCTCCCCATCACGCACTCCTTGGCTCCTTGCAGCCTGGCTTTGGCCGCCAGGCCCACCCCGTGTCATACGAGTCTTCTCACTGTCCCTCCCCTGATGGTTCCACTAGATGAGAGCCACCCACTTCCCACTCCCCAGCACAAATGCCATCAGGACTCAGCACGACGCCCACGAGAAGCCGGAGGCTGGGAGGAGGCAGAAGACAGCTGCAGCGGCCGATCCCCTAGCCCTGCGGCCTCACTTGGCCTCTGGCCTCACATGGCCCTGGGTCTCCCAGCCAGCCCTGAGCCCCCATTCTGTCTTCCTAGCTCTCGCCTTAGGTTCTGCCTTCACTTGGTTTTGGTTCCCGGGCCACGTGTGGCTCACTGGCGCCCACTGTGAGTAGCTTCGTCCCATTTCGGCTCCTCATCTCAGGGCTGGCCGGGGCACTTGCCTCCAGGGCCCCAGGCACCCACCTAGCCTGGAGCTTAACAGTGCTAATGACACCACAGATCTTTCTGCATTCCTGAAGACTTCCAAGTCCAGCTGTCCCCTTCTGGGTGGCCCACAGGCAACTCAAACTCCAAAGATCCCACAAATAACTCAGTCCTTCCCCTAAAACTCCTCGTTTCGCACTGTTATGGGCTGAATTATGTCCCTCCAAAATTTACATGTTGAAGTCCTAACTCCAGTGCTTTTGAATTTGCAACTGTCTGTGGAGATAAGGTCTTTAAAGAGGTAAGTTTTAAGAAGGTGTTAAGGTGGGCCCTAATCCTATCTGCGGGGCATCTTTATAAGAAGATATTAGGATGCACAAAGGCACACCAGGGGACACATGCACAGAGGGACACAGTGAGCTGAGGTCATCTGCAAGTCAGGGAGAGGGCTCAGAAAAAAACAAACTTGCCACCATCTTGGACTTCTAGTCTTCAGAACTGTGAGAAAATAAGATTCTGTTGTTTAAGCGGTCCAACCTGTGGTATTTTGTATGGCAACCTGAGCAGACTAATATACCCACCTTCATTAACGGCACCACCATCCACTTAGTGCCCAGAGCCAGAAATCTGGAACCCTCCTGACTCCTCCCCCAACCTCATTGTCACAGCTGATTCTTTTCTCTCCCATTCCCACTTGCCCTGAGTCTCTTCTCACCCCATCCACACTCCTGTCATTATCTGAGCTGGGTGGTTAGTAGCTCCCAAGTCTGCAGAATGAAAAGAGCACCCCCAACCCTCCAGGCCAGGGAGCACCACCGCGGTGGGCACGTGGGGTGTTTGCTGCGGCCCGAGCCCAACCCTCGGTGGGGCCGGAACTCAGGGCACACAGGGCAGGGACTAGACTGTAATAAGGAGACAAGGGTGGCGAAGGGCTCTGAATATCAGGCCACCTCTGGAGCCTAAGGGCTGTCTGTGAAGGTTGTAAGGAAACACATTTTGAGATGGACAGTGTTGTACAAATATGCAATGCGGGGCGAGCTCCTCAAAGCCTGGATCTCTGAGCCTTGCAAGGTTGTACAGTGAGATGACTTTGCTCCAGCCCTTCATGCGCCCCCCAAACCTGAGCTGTCCACACCCTCTGCCTGTCCCGCTCTGTTCTCGCTTCCCAGGTGGCTTGGGCAGGATTTGATGCAGTGGCTGGTAGAGGACCTATGTCGGCCCTCCCTGGGATGCTTCCACATCTGTCTGGGATGGGCTCTCATGGCAACAGATGGCTCTGTGGAGTGATAGGTTTGGGTGGTTTTATTTCTACTTCCTCACTTTGGTTTTTGATACTGGCTTTCTTTCTTAATACTCGTGGTCTCCTCTAGTCCTTTTTAGAAACAGAGAGTGTGTTCATGTTGCAATAAACCACCTAAGACTCCCTGCAAAGGCAGGTCAAACCCTTCTGGAAGACGTGGGGAAGCTTCTGGAAAGCCTCTTACCTGCGATGTCACAGAGTTCCGCATCTGAGGCGTTCGCCAACGCCTCCTCCAGCTCTGGCTCCAAGGTCACACTTTCCAGCACAGGATCCATCGGCTTCTGCTTGGGGACCCAGACCTTTCCTGCAGAACACGAGTGCCCGTTACAGGGCATGCCACTGTGCTGGGGCAGTCCCTGGTGATGGCCCCAGGTGGACTGTTCCAGAACCCGGAGGGCCGCGCTGAGACTCACTTGCTTCAGGTTTCTCCCTCTGGGGACCCAGTGCCAAACTTCCCCAAGGAACAAGAATCAAAGATCTCCAACAGAGACACCTCTCACATTTGAAAAGAAGAACTTTGAAGCTTGGTCAAACTAGACTGCTCACTATTGAAAACCCTAGTCATTAATGAAAACAACCTGGAAGTAGGCAAGAGCTACAAAAGAAAAATGTAATTGAATGTCAGGCTCTGGGATACCCTAACCAAGCGTTCGGATATGAGAGAAAAATTTAGAAACATCTCTAAACAAAATAAACAAAATACACTCAGATTATTAAAAGAATAGGGAGCAAAAATGTATCCCCGTCTCATGGGACATTATATTTTTAAAGTGTCAGACTCATGACTGGACAAGGGAGCAAAGAGGCACACAAGGAAGGTCACTGCATGGATCACCAATAGGGGGTTGTTGAAGAAATTATGGGACATCTATACGAAGGAGTTCCCGCAGTTATTACAACGGATGATGGAGATGTCTGCTTACAAAAAAGGATATGCCCAAGACATAATGTGAGAAAAAGCAAATCTATAAAAGAGCATGAACAATTTAATTCCATGTATGAAAATTGCATTCGTTCGTTCGTTCATTCATTCATTCATTCATTCATCACACTGGATATTTACTGGGTGCTTCGTAAGTGCCAGGCACCTTTCTAGGGGCCAGGGGGGCAGCACTGAACAATTTACAATTTAGTGAAAGGAGACAGACAGTAAACAATCATGCAAAGATATCACATGGTATTAGGCATTGTGGAGGAAAATAAAGCAGAGCAAAAGACCAGGCAGTTCCAGGCTGGGGTCCCGTCGAGGCGAGCACTGCTTTTTTTGGGGTAGGGTGGTTGGGGAAGGCCTCACTGAGATGATGGCCTATGAGCTGGGACCCGACAGAGGGAGAAACACGCCCTGAAGATCGGCTGCAAGACAAGGATGCCTGCCTTCACCGTGGTTGTTCAATGTTGCACTGAAAGTTCCAGTAAGAGCAAATGGACAAGAAAAAAAATGGCATCCACACTGGAAAGGAAGAAGTAATATTAACTCTGTTTGTAGATAACATGATCTAATATGCAGAAAACCCTAAAGATTCGACAAAATGCTGTTAGGACTGATAAACACTGTTCAGAGTAGGTTACAGAGTACAAGATCAATGTGCACAAATGGGTGGTGTTTCTGCCCAGCAGCAAGGAGCAATCTGAAAGGAAAACTAGAACAATCATTTCATCTACAATAGCATTCAGAGGAATAAAATGCTTAAGGATAAGTTTAACCAAGGAGCTGAAGGACTTGTGCGAGGAATATTAGAAAACATTGCCAAAAGAAATTAAAGAAAACCTAAATAAATAGAAAAATATCCCAAGTTCATGGACTGGGAGACAATATTAAGATGGCCATACTGCCCAAAGCAATCTCTAGATTCAATGCAACTCTTATCAAAATTCCAATGGCCTTTTTTTTTTTGCAAAAATAGAAAAACCATTTCTCAAAGTAATAAGGATTCACAAGAGGTCCCAAAAAGGCAAAACAATCTTGAAGGAAACAAACTTGGAGGGCTCAGACTTCCTGATGTCAAAACTTACTATAAAATTTTTTTTTAAAGATTTTATTTATTTGACAGAGAGACACACAGCGAGAGAGGGAACACAAGCAGGGGGAGTGGGAGAGGGAGAAGCAGGCTTCCCACTGAGCAGGGAGCCCGATGTGGGGTTTGATCCCAGGACCCTGGGATCATGACCTGAGATGAAAGCAGACGCTTAATGACTGAGCCGCCCAGGTGCCCCAAAACTTACTACAAATTTAAAAAGTGTGTCACTGACAAGGATAGACATCTAGACAATGGGATAGGATTGGGAGTCCATAAATAAACCCATACATCCATGGAAAATTGATTTTTGACAAGGGTGCCAAGACCATTCAATAGGGGAAAGAATAATTTCTTCAAGAAGTGGTGCTGGGGGCTGCCTATGTGCTCAGATGCCTGGGCTGCATCCGATTCTTGGTTTCAGCTTAGGTCATGATCTCAGTGTCATGAGATTGAGCCCCGCGTCAGGCTCCACACTCAGTGTGGAGTCTGTATAAGATTCTCATTGCCTCTCCCTCTGCCCCTCCCCACTGCACTCTCTCACTCACTCTATCTCTAAAATAAATAAATAAATCTTTTGAAAAAGAGAAGAAAAAGTGCTGGGATCGGACATCCATATGTAAAGGATGAAGCTGCACCCCTATCCCACACCATATACACAAAAATGAACTGAATATGGATCAATGACTTAAATATAATAGTTATAACTATAAAACTCTTAGAAGAAAACCTACACATAAATCTTCATGACTTTAGATTTGGCAACATATTCTTAGATATGACAACAAAAGAAAAAATAGATCAACTGGACTTTATCCAAATTTAACACCTTTGTCCCTCAAAGGACATTATCAAGAAAGTAAAAAGACAACATACTGAAATCACCTGATAGGGTCCAGTATCCAGAATATTTAAAAAAAAATTTTACAGCTCAACAGCAAAAAGAATAACCAATGTAAAAATGGACAAAGAACTTAAAGATATTTCTGCAAAGAGGATATTCATATGGCCAATATGCACCTGCAAAGATGCTCATCATCATCGGTCATTAGGGAAATGCAGATCAAAACCACGAAGAGATGCCACTTCACATCCATGAGGATGGCTACGATAAAAACCAAAATGGAGAATAACAAATGTTGGCAAGGATGTGGAGAAACTGGAATCTTTTTGATTGCTGGTGACTGTGTAAAATGGCACAAACATGGAATTACCATGTAATTCCGCTCCTGGGATTATAAACCCCGAAGACTTGAAAACAGGTACTCAAACAAATATCTGTACAGGAATGTTCATAGTAACACTAATCACAATAGCCACAAAGTGGAAACAACCAAAATATTCATCAGTAGATGAATGGATAAACATTGTTTAACATTGTTCAGTCTATAAAAGGGAATGAGTGAGTCTCAAAAACAATATGCTAAGCGAGAGAAGCCAGACACACAAAGTCACATATTATATGATTTAATTCATAGGAAATATCCAGACTAAGTAAAGCCATAGAAACACACTGATGGTTGCCAGGGGCTGGGGGCAGCAGAGACTGGGGACTAACTGCTTATGGGGCACAGGGTTTTATTTTGGAGTGATGAAAATGTTTTGGATCTATATAGAGGTGGGGGTTACACAACATTGTGGATGCACTAAATGCCACTGAATTGTTCCCTTTACAATGGTTCAATTTATGTTATGTGAATTTCACCATTTTACCAAATTAAAAAAAAAACAAAACATTCACTTTGGTTATTGATTGAGAATCGCCTGAAGGGGGGCGAGGATGGGAGCCTGGAGCTGGTGAAACTGGAAAAGGGCAAAACATGCAAAGAAAACAAAATGGTTAAAAAGAAAATCTGCTGTAAAAATGACTGATGCAATGAGTAGGCTGGCCCTTCAATAAATGTATCAGACCTGTGGTTTCTTACACCCCTGCAGCAAGTGTCTCCAGCAAGGGCAGTGGTTCGAAGACACAAGAGGGGCTTTGGACTTCCTCCCTTCCTTCATCTTATTAATTGGAATGTGGATGTGATGACTGGAACTTCAGCAGCCAGATGGACCATGAGGACAAGGACATATTACAGGGATGGCAGAATGAAAAACTGGAAAGGATCTTCATTGCTAATGTCAGGGAAGATGCCCTACCAGCCCAGAATGCCTAACCCTGCAGCTAGGCGAAAGAAGTTAAACTTTTATCTTGATTAAATCTCTCTTATTTTACTTTTCTCCTCAGCACATGCAGTCAAATCTAATTCTGCATGGAGAATTCAATATAATTCTGCATTAAAAATATCCGGCATGAAGCTTTATTCTGACTCCCCCACTTGGATGAGAGTGAATGAAAGTCCAGATTCCTCAGGACTTTGTACCAGTTTATGGCTCCCCCGCCTTCTGTTTGGTCTTGTGGAGACTGGGGTGCTGTTTCCCCTCAACCTTGGCTAGTTCTAGGCCCGGCACTGAGTAAATAAATGCTCAGTGAGGGCTAGACACCATGGCCCTGAGTCTGCCTGTTTGAGTCGGAAGGTCCCCTTCCCCAACTCTCTGCTGAGGACCCCCCCCCACTTATTCAAACTGTAAAGACTCCAACAATCATCACGTAAATACTTTATGATGAGGATGCTGCTGGTGGTGATGATGATGATAAGTCTCTTAGGCGTGCCGCTATATGGAAACAGAATAAATTCTAGCTACCTTTCTTGGATTAGCATGGTTTTTCATGAAGGCTGTCAGGCTCTGGGAGTCTGGAGAGCGGTTCCTGGTGCCACGCCAGGCCAGCATGCCACAGAGGGGCAGCAGAATTGGTCTGTGTACGGCCCAGATTCCCTTCCCCACCCCCACCCCCACCCCCAATCTCCAGCTCCTTCCCTCGCAGGGCGGTGGGTATATGGGGCCATGGACGCCAGCAATGACTCACCCGCAGTCCACCCAGGTATTCTCCTGACTCTCGGTGTCCCCATTTTTCAAATGTGCAGGTGGGACAATGGGAGGCCCAATAAGGCCGCATGAAATCCAGAGATTCTATTGTGTCTATCTGCTGCACAGAAATTGCTCCTCGAGGCACAAGTGCCTTGCTTAAAAACCTCTCGTGCCCACACTCTCAGCCGGGCACACCCGGCCCTTATGGTCAAGGCCTCCTTCCTCTGCCCCTCCCCCAGGGGTGCTGCAGACCACACAATCCTCCCGACGTTCTGTAACCCAAATAAATGCCCCTTGGCCTTCCCTGACCTTCCCAGTTTTCTGTAAAATCTGGACTGAGCTCCGAGTCCAGGGTTTGTGATGGCTCAAACTCCTCCCCATGAGGCTACCTCTGCTTGCTTTTTCATCTGATTACCACACGACAGGGATACAGAGATAAATGCCACAGATGTGGACCCTGGGCTCATCACGTTTATAATCTTGGGGGTGGGGAGAGTGGAAGAGACTGCAAATAAACATTTACACAATATTAATTGATTAGAATTAATGCTTTCATTCAACAAATGCTTATCGGGTGCCTACCACGTGCTGGTGTTTATTAGGTGTAGATGTAATGATGAGCCAGATAGATGTGGTCCTTGCCCTTGTAGGGCTTATATTGTAAGGAAGCAACCCACAAGATTCACTGTAGACTTACTTAATTTTAATTCATTCATTCAGCAACTCTCTATGAGCCCTACTGTATACCAGGCCCTGTGCTGGGTGCTGGCGGTGCTGTGTGAGCAAAACCAGCCCTAGTCCCTGCCCTCACAGGGCTTACAGCCAGTGGGAGAGACAAGTGATACATAAGGAGAAAATGATAAAGTGGAAATTGCTCTGAAGGACACACACACAGGCTCCTGAGATGGCAAAGACCCCAGGGGGAGCTGAAGGGACTGCATGTCCTAAACAGAGTGGACAGAAAAGTCTCCCCTGGAAGAGGAGACAGTATAGTTGAGACCAAACGGATAATAATAGCTAGTACTTACACAGCATTCGCTATGGGCCAGGCGCCCGGCTAAGTGGTTTATATGTATCTTAACTCAGTCCTCATAAGAACCTCATGAGGCTGGTAATATGATCTTCTTCATCCCCATTTCACAGAGGAGGAAACGGAGGCACAGCAGATTGAAAAATGTACTCAAGCTCACACAGCTAGTAAGTGGTAGTGCCCGGACAGCAGCCAGCATACATCTAGCTCCAGGCTGTGTTTCTAACCATTAAGCCTCTTACAGGGGAGGAAGAGCCAGCCATGAAGACAGCATGGAGCCAGAGAGCAGGAGCAGCATTCCAGGCAGAGGGAATACGTGCAAAGGTCCTGAGGCAGAAAAGAGCTTGGGATGTGTGAGGAATGGAAGGAGGCCTGTAGGGCAGCAGTGGGGTGAGCGAGGGTGAACACAATCCAAGAGGACAGCAGAACGGTTTGGAGGGCAAGGGGGAGTCCTGGAAGGGTTGGACAGTCAGGGGGTGCCTCTCTGTTCCCCAGTCTTCTAGATGGCTTGCCTTAGGCTGGGGCAGAGAGTCTTAGAAGGACAGATGAAGGAGGGGATGCAGCTGCCAGAGAAAGGAACACTGGGGAAAGAACACGGACAGTGAGGGCGGAGGTAGGTGAACTTGTTGCCAGTTTGCACAGGACAGGCCGTGTGCAGGCCTATGTCCTGACACCATGATTAATAGTTTCCGCTTTCATTTTCAAAGGTGACTACGTTTGTATGAAAGATAATCAGGACACCCCGGCTAAAGGGGATTTAGGGGAAAGTTTTGCTGATTTGGGTACGTATCACACTTTCCTTAGTTTACCCAAAACTTCACCAAATCTACATCATGCGTTGATGCCTTTGGTGTTGGGTTTGTGAATGTGGGCGGGGCAGGCATGAGGGCAAGGAGGCCCAGCCACCACGGCTCAGCGCAGGGCCTGGCATACAGGTGGCACTCGACGATGCATGGGCAGTGATGTATTCGAATATAAGAGCAACATTATTCAGTACCTCGCTTTTCCCCTGTGTAGGGGACCAGATCTTCTCGGTCTTTAAACTCCTTTGCTTGCTTTTCCAAGTGATCCAAGAGCTCCTCCCTTTTAAAGGGGCCCGTGGGCGCCTTGGTGGTCTGATCCTTCTGCCTCAGGCCCGCAGGCAGCAGTGCATTCTACAGTGGAGGTTGTGGGGCCAGGTGACACAGAGAGAGAGAGAGAACGAGAGAAAGAGAAAGAGAGTGGTCAGCTGCTGAAGACTTGCATTTCTCCCAAAATTCATCTTTGACCAATGGGACCTCAGAGCCCATCAAATCAATCCAGGTCGCTCATTTACACGTGAGGCATCTGACACCCAGGAGGGGCAGGGACTTGCCCAAGGTCACACAGCAGATGACGGGCATAGCTAGGCTAGGACTCAGGTCTTCATTGTCTAGAGTCTCTAAGCCTTCGATGTTTCTGAAGGCAAAGGGGTGAGGAGGTAGCCGACACAGGGCTTGGCAGACAGGGACACTCCAAGAGCGTCTGTGAGTATGAATATGATTAAGTTGGTGTTTGGATGCAGGAGGATAATTATAGCTATTGTGCATACAGTGGCTGGGGTGAGAAGAAGCCCAAGGGCCATGAGTTAGGGCCCTGAATGCAGAATCAGGCAAGAAGTATCAGACCCAATACCCAAGCGGGGAAAGGCTCAGCAGAGCTGTGGGGGTGGGTGAGGCGTGCTCTCAGGCTGCAGCCCTGGCCAGCCCTCCCGGCTGCTTTCCACCCTGCTGACAGGCCATGTGCGTGCCACTCTGGTGTTAAATATTTTGAACGTCGCCCTTGGAGATGGGTGTCTCAAGAAAGACAGCATCAGCCAATCATCGTGTTCCTTCTTCAAACATGGTTAGGCTTCTAGGTGCGGGATTGCTACCAAAGCAGCAGACAAGAATCAGGGTAGATTTGAATCACATGGGCTTCCCTTACCTCAGCCCCCCGTGCCTTAGAGATTCAAAGAAGTTTATGGTTGCAAGGATGCTTAGAGACTGTCTAGTGCACACACCTTCCCTTCAAGAGGAAACTGAGGCCCAGAGCAAGGAAAGATTTGCCCAAGGAGTTTCAGGGACAGATCTAGAACAAAAACCAGGGTTCTTCTTCAGATGCGGGGGAGGAGGGCAGTCTTCACTTCCAATCATTGCTCTCTCCCCACCCCCTTTCACTCAGGGATATAGTGGAGGATACCCGGAAGGCAGAGGGGAGCAGAATCTCACCCCACTTCTTGCTGTACCCCCAAACCGGCTAACCAAGAGAGCCATCCCACCTCCAATCTCTGTATCATCAAAATGCATAGCTTTGACCACCCCCACACAGTCTGGATCCTTTGGAAAGCCCCCTCCGAGAGGGGATGATATCAGGTATACAAAGATAGCTGAGGGCCTGGCCACGGACAGCGAGAGCTCAGGAGGACAATACCACTGCTTAACTCCAGTATGATTTTTCAAAGATGCTTTAGCACCGTCTACCACTGCGGCACTGCTCCCCTTGGAGCCCTGGGTGCAAAAGGACTCGGACCGTGAGTCAGCAAGACGTTTGGGAGTTGCAGCACATTACAAGAGGTCGGCCAGTAGGTAGAAAACTAAGTCATGACTGATTTGGGGGTGAGCACCAGGAACATAAGTGATGCCACAGACCCCCCAGTTTCCCTGAAGCAGCGGTCCTCAGGTACTGTCCACCACGACACGCAGGATGGATGAGGCCCACAGGTGAGGCACGCTTCGTGGGCATGGCCCGGGCGAGATGGGGTTTGTCGTGGCTAGCTGCATGTCCACCCCTTCTCTCCCGTGGCGGGGCACTCACGGTGACTCAAGTGAGGAAGAGAACCACCTAACTGTCCCGCAAACCTCCATCTGTGCTTACCCATTGAAAGCAAACCAGATTCCCTGTGACATGCGGGCACCTCACAGTTGACCGCCCCCGACAAGCTTACGCTGTCGCCTGATGTAGTGCTGACTCCAGCTATATAATCTTGGGCAGGTCACCTCATCTCACCCGGCCTCGGTTTCTATGGCTATAAAATGTGAATAATCATGGTTGCTCTCTCGGGCTTGTTGCGAAAGTTAAATTACATAATGCAGGAAGAGTGCTTAGGCCACTGCCAGGCACTGACAAATTACTACTTATGATCAGATTATGGGTTACCCAAATATGTATGTTGAAATGGAGATGTATTATCTAGATAGATCTCAAAAGTCAAAAAATGAAGACGTTCAAATATAAAATGAAGTAAGCACCGAAAGCAAGTGTTTTCCCAATGATCCCCACAAAGGAAGACCTGATAGATTGTTGTCACTGTAAAGGGTTTTGACGGCAGGAAGGTGCTGGGGCACGGGCTGGTCCCTAGAGGCTCCGTGATGGGAGAAACCCACAAGGCTTAGCTGAGGGGAAAAGGGTTTGCAAACTCACATCTCTTTTGGAATATATCTGAGAGAGGCCACTGATTTAGCTAAAGTAGGGATTCTCAGCCTTGGCACAATTAACATTTGGGGCTGGATGATTCCTTGTCGTGGGGGCTGTTCTAGGCATTGTCAACTGTTTACCAGCATCTGTGTCCTCCGCCTAATGGATGCCAAGAGCATCTCACCTCCACGTTGTGACAACCAAAAATGTCTCCAAACATTGCCAGATGTCCCCTGGGGAGCAAAATCGCCCCTAACTGAGAACTGTTAAATTGAAGCCCATATCATTACAATAGGGGAATAAAGATGTTTTTAATGTACTTTAAAAATATTACTTATATATCATGTTAGAGTATGGTTTCATTTATATAAATCTTTACTGAAAGCAGTTGATTTTTTATGAAACAAAAACATCAAAGGCCCTTTCTAACTTAGCTTATTGGATTTTTAAAGTAAATATTGAGAATATCAGCCTCTTTAGGAATTAAAGTTTTTTTCCCATAAACTGGTATATTTAATAAAACATAATGTGATATTCAATTAAAACCAAAGACATTTGCATATTTCTTAAACTCCTATTTATCATTTTAACTTGTTTTTAAAAATGGCATGTGACCTCACATGATATATAAAAATTAACTCCCAAGTGGATCCAAGATCTAAATGTAAGAGCTAAGACTATAAAACTTTTAGAAGAAAACGGGTATAAATCTCTGTGACCCTAGATTAGGCAATGGTTTCTTGGATATGCTACTAAAACAATAAGCAACAAAAGAAAAAAATGGATAAAGCGACTTCATCAAAATTAAAACTGTTTATGCCTCAAAGGAGACTAGCAAGAATGTGAAACCCACAATTTGAGAGAAAATTTTTGCAGATCATCTATCTGATAAGGGTCTAGTGTTCAGAATATGTAAAGATCTCTTACAATTCAAAATATAAGTAACCCAGTTTAAAAATGGGCAAATGATCTGAATAGATGTTTCTCCAAGGAAGACCTAAAAATGGCCAATACACAAATGAAAAGATGCTCAACATCATTAGCCACCAAGGAAATGCAAATCAAACCCCGGAATGAGACACTACTTCACACCCACCAGGGTGATTATAATAAAAAGGACAGATAATCGCAAGTGTTTGTGAGAATAGTAAGCACATTAGCATTATTCAGAATAGACAAAAAGTTGAAACAACTCAAATGGCCATCAAATGATGAATGCATAAACAGAATATGGTATGGCCATACAACAAACTCACATCTCTTTTGGAATATATCTGAGAGAGGCCACTGATTTAGCTAAAGTAGGGATTCTGAACCTTGGCACAATTAACGTTTGGGGCTGGATGATGAAAAGAAACATAGCAGTGATACATTCTACAACAAGGTGAAACCTTGAACACATCGTGCTAAGTGGAAGAAGCCAGTCAAAGGAATCCATTTAGATGAAGTGTCAAATCAATAGAGACAGAAAGTAGATGAGTGGTTGCCTCAAGCTGGGGAGGCTGGAGAGATATAGGGGTTTCTCCATTAGGTGATGAAAATGTTCTAAAGTTGGCTGTGGTGAGGGTTGTACAACTCTGTGAAAACACTAAAAAAACCACTGCATCGTACACTTAAAGTGGGTGAATTTTAGAGTAAGTGAATTATATCTCAAATAAAGCCGTTATTTAAAAATGACATATGTTGGGGACGCCTGGGTGGTTCAGTTGGTTAAGCATCTGCCTTCGGCTCAGGTCATGATCCCAGAGTCCTGGGATCGAGCCCCGCATCAGCCTGCCTCTCCCTCTGCCCCTCCCCCATGCTTGTGCGAGCACTCTCTCTCTCTCTCTTTCTCTCTCACAAATAAATAAATAAAAACTTTAAAAAAAGGTGCATGTTAGCTAGGGAAAAATTATAAAAATGGCTAACGCAGTAGCTAAACGGTCAGGGACCTCCAGGGACAGAAGGCCCTTCGCATGCCAGTGACTGGTAGTGATGCTGGCCAAATTTAAAACAGTCTCCTGTTTGATGATGTGATGAGCCTCACTGTGTAAATTTAGTCATGGAGAAGTTAAATGGGTGAGAAAATACTGCCTTGGATCTCTCAGGACTCTTAGAACCTAAAACTGAGTCTCAGACACAGGCTATCCAGTTGGTGAGGGAAAGAGCTCCCACAACCATTTTGTTGGTGGCTCTGACCAGGAGAGCATTTGGTGAACACGTACGTGTGGAGATGTCTCTTTCATTCCTGCATTCCTTGTTCAGTCAACAAACACCTCATGCGTCCAGGCAGTGTGCTAACAGGCAGGGCCAGGACCCCACAAAGAGATCTCTAATATGGAGCAACTGGGGAGAGGGGCGGTCAATGGGAGAGGGAGAAGAAAATGAGAGCAGAGCGTCCATTACCGCCTGTATGGAAAGCACTGCACTGTTTTTGCTTCTCGAGTTCATCAAGATCTGAAACGGGGGTCTGCTTCACTAACTAGCGAACAACAGTCTATCGCTAGCTTCTACGTTGCCAGTAAAGGTTGTATATTTCCACGATGCCTGTGGTCACTGGAACCTCGAACCTTGAAGGAATTTATCTCGTTCTCCTGATCTTAAAGCGTGCGCATGGGAAATTTGCTGGGCAAGTCCTTTTCTGTAGCTAGTTCCAAGGGACGATTCGGTCTGGCTCCCCCAGGGCACACGTCAGCTCTCCATCAGGGGGAGAGATCTTGACAGGCGCATGGCACACATGCATCTTCACTCCAAAGACAGGTTGGTGAGGGGTAAGGTTTGCTTTGAGAGACAACCTTGGTACCTAGGACTCAGAGCACGTCTTCACGTCCTTCCTTACACTTGGAAATGTACTCCTGTGATGAGGGCGGCTCTCTGATCTTAGGCTAAAATTATATGTGTGAGATGCTTGGGAGTGGTGGGGACTGTGGTACACTGGGGCTTCTGGTGCCTCTACACCACCCAGCTCAGAACTATCACCATATGAGAATATGGGTGGTGCTATTAGAGCTGCTCATCTTTATGTGAAAGCTCTTGATTTTTAAACATTGACACAAAGTCCAAGTATTTTAAAAACAATGTTCAGGTCACAGAAAACACATCTGCAGGCCAGACTGGGTCTGTGGGCTGCCGTTTTGCCACATCTGATCTCAGGTTTCTATCAGACTAGAATTCAGTGTAGAGAAAATCAAGATATTCATTCATTTATTTGACAAATATCTCCTTGAGTGTCTCACCCATATCAGGCTCTGGACTAGAGGAAGAAAGAGGTATATCCATGAGTTTTCAATGTAGTGGTTTTAAAAATTATAAAAACACATGGAATTTTTAATATGTTTTTAGAAATAATCGTAGGGGAAAAATTAGGCAAGCTTTTCCTGTGGTTCCCTACTTGTGGGTTTTTAAATGGTGACTTCCTTTTAAATGCTTTTAAAATTAAAACTCGGATGTGCAGCTTGGCAGGTTATCATCTTAATTTGACTTTCACACCCACACTCTGGAGTCCAGTTGTCCAAAGGACGATGGAAACTTTGACGGATCCTTATCGGGGCTGTGAGGAGCTCTAATACCCTGCCGACAGAGGCCAGAAAGGCCAAATATCAAGCATCTGCACAATTATCATTGCTATAGATAGTTTGGGCTACGTCAGAAGCCATCTCAGCTGGGACCACTGTGGGCTTGTTCAGACATGCACACATACACAACACACAGGCACACTCATTCACACACAAACACACACACACTATGTATTAAAGGGGCTGCAAATCTCTAAGAGAGCCTCTGGACCGATTCTTTCATTTCCAGTTGAGGAAACTGAGGCACAGAAAGAGCCAGAAAGCCTGAGTTTATATACAGACGACACTGTTTATAATTAGCATGCCCAAGGATCAGTATGACCATTTCCAGGCTGGTGGCTAATCATACATGAAATGTACCCTAATCTGCTTCTTCACAGCGACAAAATAAACAAGCAACTTTATTACTTTTCTCAAATAAAGCAACTATGTCTAAGGACAAATGAATATTAAAGGTGCCCCCCGCCATGGCCCAAGCTCCAGGAGTCCTGGATTGCTGTGCTGTGACTAAACCCCACACAACTCCCCAGAAGAGGACGGGCCGTGGAGGACAATGCCTTTACTGCATATTGGGAGCAGCCAGCCGAGGGTCAGGGAGGGGAAGGGCCTAGCTTGAGGTCAGACGCTGGACTGAGAGCCCGGGACTCTTGACTTCCAAGCCACAGAAAATGTTCCATCCCGCCTGACAGGCTTCCTCTAGGAACAGACCCTGGAAACCAGATGTGGTGCCACGTGAGAACCAGGCTTCCTCTCCAAGTGTGTTAGAAAGCAAGAGCTCACCTCCTTATCAAACCAGTTTACAGATGGAGAAACTGAGGCCCCGAGGCATGGAGTTCCTGTCCCGGGGTAAGAGTGAAATGAAACCCAGGAGGCTGAACGGCCCCAAATGCCCACTGACTTCTCGCCCCCTCCCGTTTTAAATGATCCAAGCCTATCCTAGATGCCCCACCCCTTTCCACCACATCAGCAAGGCCAAACGTTTTATAGGCCAGTCAGTCACATGATCACATTTCACAAGGCATTTGGCCAAAAAACCACATTTTTCTAACTGGACTTGAGGACTTTTATTTTTCAGTTACCTGCCAGGTCTGTTTCCCCTTGTATAAAATGAGGCCCTCTAGCCCCGCAGGGCCTGGATGATACTGAGCACTCTGCCTCTGCATTCTTGACCAGCAGCTTCTAGATTCCACTAGAAATCATTCAGTGGGGCTTCAACAGAGCTTTCTTCCTTTTCTTTTTAAAGATTTTATTTATTTATTTGAGAGAAAGAGAGCACAAGAGCACAGAGGGAGAGGGAGAAGCAGACTCCCCGCTGAGCAGGGAGCCCGATGCGGGGCTCGATCCCAGGACCCTGGGATCATGACCTGAGCCGAAGGCAGACGCTTAACGACTGAGCCACCCAGGCGCCCTTGACGGAAGCTTGTAAAGAGGGGTCAGGATTTCTTTTCTTTTCTTTCTTTTTTTTTTTTTTAAAGATTTTATTTATTTATTTGTCAGAGAGAGACACAGCTAGAGAGGGAACACAAGCAGGGGGAGTGGGAGTGGGAGAGGGAGAAGCAGGCTTCCCGCTGAGCAGGGAGCCCGATGCGGGGCTCGATCCCAGGACCCTGGGATCATGACCTGAGCCGGAGGCAGACGCTTAACGACTGAGCCACCCAGGCACCCTTGACGGAAGCTTGTAAAGAGGGGTCAGGATTTCTTTTCTTTTCTTTTAAAGATTTTATTTATTTATTTGACAGAGAGAGACACAGCGAGAGAGGGAACACAAGCAGGGGGAGTGGAGGAGGGAGAAGCAGGCTTCCCGCCGAGCAGGGGGCCCAGTGCGGGGCTCGATGCGGGGCTCGATGCGGGGCTCGATCCCAGGACCTGGAATCATGACCTGAGCTGAAGGCAGACGCTTAACGACTGAGCCACCCAGGTGCCCCGAGGGGTCAGGATTTCAACAGGTACAGAGAACTTTTCATGGTTTGACCCCGGGCTGCTCCAGCCTCCCGATCTTCCTCCTCTCTTCAAGGATTCCAGGTCCCAGCCTCTCTAGGCTGCTCCACATTCCACAGCCGCACCCTGCTCTCGAGCTGCCGCCTGGGCGCAGGCTGTGCCCTCTGCCTGGCATTCCCTCCCGCCTCCTCCCCTGCATTTGTCTTTTAAAGTCTTTCCCTTGGGCACCCTGTTTGGCCTTTGCAGTGCTCCCCACATTGATCTGGAAATTCTCTGTCCAAACTCCCCTGGGCACCCTGCCAGCGCTTATATAATGTCACCCTCTTCTGTCTTGGAGATGCTGTCTCTCTCCCTAAGGAGACCGAGTGGGATGTATCTTCGTCTTCTCTGCCTCCCCAGCACCATGCGCCGGCCACCAAGAAAACGTATTCTGCAGAGTCCCGATCCAGCAACAGAGTTGCTCCAGCTGGGCAAGGAGGATGGTATTACTTGGACACCCTCAGGTCAGCATCACACCGGCTGCCCCAAGCGATCTGTCAGGCCACCCAACTGCTGGCCCGAGCAGGTTTGGGGGAGGGGACACGTGAGAGGTGCCAGGGTGGGGGGGCCCAGGATGGGGCCAGTGTCCACAGATGGGAGTTTTAGGAAGGGCCAAGCTGGCCTTCTGTGATGTTTTCTTTAAGGGCCTGGATTTGGTTCATTTCCTCCCAATTCTTCTTGCTCTGCCTCGGAGACTTTGGCAGAGCAGGACCTCAGGCCGCCAAACTGGCAGACTCACAGTGACAACCTCCAAACGGTCCCCGATACCATGTCTCCCCTTTGCTGGTACCGAGAGCACTCTACTCTTACAGCTGAGCACAAGGCCTCTCAGATTAAAGACTACTTTCCCCCGGCTCCCTTGCAGGTAGGGTGAGCCACGTCACTAAGCTGTGGTCGATAAGAAGTGTCCAGTGGCGATTTCTAGTAATCTTCCTTAAAAGGCACTTACGTAATGGCTTTCCTCCTTTCCTTTTTCTCCCCTTTTCCTCTAGTCCGATGCAGCGTGGCAGCTACGACGGCCATGAGGACCCTGGACCATGAGGACGAGGACTATACCCCAGGCTGGCCAGAGATGAGCTGGATGGAACCTGGGACTCGGGGAAGTGTGGGGAGCTGAGCTCCACACCAGCTCTAAATGGCGCACTTCTGGACTTGAACTTGAGGGATGAATAAACCATTGCTCAAGTCACGTTATTTTCAGGGTCTTATACTTGCCGCCGGACTGCATCCTAACTGACAACCTAAATTCTCATCCCAGGGCTGTGGAGCCCCAGACGGTGGGCTCAGTGCTCTCTGACTTTGGCATCTCCTTCTCTAAAATGAAGTTCAAAAGCCTTTTTAAACTTTTTTTTTTAATTTTTTTTATTTATTTTTGAGAGAGAGAGAATGACAGAGAGAGAGAGAAGGAGAAGGGTGAGGGTCAGAGGGAGAAGCAGACTCCCTGCCGAGCAGGGAGCCCGATGCGGGACTCGATCCCGGGACTCCAGGATCATGACCTGAGCCGAAGGCAGTCGCTTAACCACCTGAGCCACCCAGGCGCCCTTCAAAAGCCTTTTTAGCTTCAAACCTCAGAATAAAGGTGTGAACTCCATACAGATGCGGCTTACTGCCAGTTAGTTTTGTCATCATAGGGCATAATTACTCATTTCTGTTCAACTGAACAGACACTGGATTATGGGGACACTCAGAATATCTGCATCTGATTGTGCAAACTGTGCACTGCACAACTCCAAGGACATTATGTGCTCTCTGGTTTATGTGAACAACGTCTCCCGCAAAGCGCAACTTCCACAACTGTCCCTGGATGCCCTGTATCTGGTGGCACAACGTGGCTCCGAATTCAAGAGGCCTAGATTCTAGTGGGCAAATCATAGATTCAGGCCCAACATTTATTAAGCTGCTACTATGTGCCAGGCATTGGGCTAGGTGCTTTTCATATACCTAACCATACTTCCATCTATTTGTGTACGTGTGTGTATGTAAACAAACACAAAATCCTGTCATTCAGAACAGAGCTAAGTTGCAAACTAGGAGGCCTATAGTCTAATCAAATGTCAAAACTTGGGTTGGTTTGGTCTGTGCATTTAAATGGGGCATCAACATTTTAAAATAGGGAACTTTCACATAAAACTTCAGATTTCCAGGGGCGCCTGGCTGGCTCAGTCGGTGAAGCATCTGACTCTTGATTTCTGCTCAGATCATGCTCTCAGGGTCGTGAAATTGAGCCCTGCATCGGGCTCTGCCCTGGGTGTGGGACCTGCTTGAGATTCTCTCTCTCCCTCTCCCTCTCCCCTCCCCCTAAAACAATTTCAAATTTCCAGTATCTCTGGAAAAATTCAGTGATCTGGCAAAAAACTCAATGGCCTTCCCTTCCACATCAGCAACAACAGGTGGGGCTGAACAGCAAGTACCCTTTAGTCAAATACAAACTCTCCTGTTTGCCTCAGTCCCCACCACTCCCTACTGTCCCTGACACAGAGGTCTAGAATCAGTTACTATTCATCATTGACTTGTTGTTACTTTTCTTCCTGGGAGGTTAAGCTGCAAGTGAAAACTTTCTTATGTCCACATCTCTTTTAAGAGTGGAAAAGTGAAAGATGAACCAGGAGGGCCACGTGCCTTGAGGAACTGGCACATCTTCCTTCCTTCGCTTGTACTACCTATACCTGATGTAGGTGATTGGTTTGCTGCCTCTCAGGTAGAAAGTCTTCAGTAGAAGAGGAGAGATGAGGAAGAGACGAGGGGGTGGGAAGGCAGGCTTTAAACTTTATCTACAGGGGTGTCTGGGTGGCACAGTCTGTTGGGTGTCTGATGCTTGGTTTCGGCCCAGGTCATGATCTCAGGGTTTTGGGATCGAGCCCTGCATCCGGCTCCATGCTCCGCATGGAGTCTGCTTGAGATTCTCTCTCTCCCTCTGCCCCTCGCCCTCCACGCTCTCTCTCTCTCTAGAATAAATAAAATCTTAAAACTTTATCTACAGTGATTTTTTTTCTTTTTAAGGGTGATCTGAATAAAATAAGGTAAAATTTTTACTTTTGTTAAATCTAAATCCTGGGAACATAAGTGTCGTCTGTACTCTCCTATGTGTTTTGAATGTTTCCTATTAAAAATGTCAAAATCAAAAGAGAAATTGCTCAGTATCCTCAGTGTGGGGCAGGTGCAGTGCTGTGGGTTGGGGGGGGCGCAGGGAAGTTGGACCTTGAAAAATGGGAGGCTTTTGAACCGAGGGGAAAAGGGCTGTGGGACCAAGATGTCCCCTAGCAAAGAGGCAAGGTGCGGGGTGGAAGAGAAAGGAGGGATTTCCGGGGAGGCTAGAGAGGGGTGCAGGGAGGTAGTCATGGGGCCAGAAGACAGAGGTTAGGGTGGGGACATACTGACACCTGGCCTCGCTCACCCTCACCCTGCCAGGCCCATCCTTGGCTCTGTACATGGCCGGCAGTGTTTCTAAGGATGTGTGCCTATTTTTAGAGCAGAGATTTATTTCTTTCCATTTCAACTGTTTACTTCTGTCCTGGGCTCACAATTCTGCTGGTTTGTGTTACAAGGGAGAACCATAGCCCTGTGGACCAAATTTGGCTGCTTCCTGCATGGCCAAGAGCGTCTCCTCGCTTACAGGGTACCATCTGGAGAGTAGGGAGGATTTTATGATTTTGTGGAGTCTGATGGGAAGCAAAGTTGTGTGACAGGAAGTCCCCCGTTCTCTTCCTGGGTCTGCGGCTGACCTGCTGTGTGACCTTGACCAAGAACATTGCCCTCACTGGGCTTCAGGGGGGTTTTCCCGTTGTTTTGATTTTTCATCACTACAATGTCAATACTACTTCTTACATCATAGGGTTGGTGTGAGGATTCAGTGAAATGCATAAAGCACCAAGTGAATGACGTGTGTCCAGGAGGGACCCCATAAATGAGAGTTTCTTTACCTGCATCATGTACATACATGCAGGGGGCTGGGGAGGGAAGGTTAGATGGTTTCTAAGGGTCCTTTCAGTGCTGTGAGTCTAGAGTTCTAGGTTTTTGTCTCCATTGTTTCTTCTTGCAGTTCATGGCCCCTGTTCTCAGAGCTCTTTTTTTTCTTTTAAAGATTTTATTTATTTATTTGAGAGAGAGAGCACAAGCAGGGGGGAGCGGCAGAGGGAGAAGGAGAAGCAGACTCCCCACTGAGCAGGGAGCCTGATGTGATCCCACCACCCTGGGATCATGACCTGAGCTGAAGGCAGACGCTTAACCAACTGAGCCACCCAGGTGCCCTGTTCTCAGAACTCTTGATGCGTTATGGACTAAGAGAAACAGGTCTGCCTGAGCTTAGCCTCCCACTTACCAGCTGTGTGATTCTGGTCATCCATTTCTTTTTTTTACGATGGTATGGACCCCAAACTTTAAGGACCGATCTCACAGGATCCTCGTAGTGATCCTCGTAGAGATGATGCCCATACAACACTTAGCACAGTGACTGGCCTGTAAAAAGCCCTCCACAGAGAAAAGAGCTATGATTATTATTTTGGGCCCTGCAGGGGACTGTTGCTTTCCACTCTTGTTTCTGTGGCTATAAAGGGCCAAAGCCTCCCAATGGCTGACTTCAAAACCAACTCACAGCACCCGATTTCTTTATAAGGTTGGGATTATCTCTACCATCTTCCCTCCTGCTAATATTTTAATCCTTTTACTGAGACACTTAAGAAAAATTCTTCCTTTTCCCCAAAGCTTCATTATCAAGCAATATTTACAAGTAAATTCTTGATCTTGATGGTATTTTTCTTTCTTTTTTAGAAGATTAGTATTGATGGTGAAACTAACATAACAACTTCAAAGGAAATCATGTTGGAAAAGAACAACTTGCTGGTTATTCCCCACCCCAGGCCCTGGCAGGCTCCAGCCCACAGGTGCTCACAGGAGGTGGTGGTTAACAACATGGGCTCTAGGGGCAGGGCTGGAGGCTGGAAGCCCAGCACCATCTGTGTTACATCCTGGTCAGGCTACCTCATCTCTCTGAGCCTCTGTTTCCCCATCTTTAAAATGGGGCCCATGACCGAACCTCTCAGAGGATGAAATGAGATCATCCACACAAAGCTTTGGCCATGGCGCAACCAGTAAATGTTAACTACCTACTGATCCCATAAGAACGCATACACGGCTCCCTGCACAAGTCACAGTGTGACCCGTCAGTCTTCAATGTTTCTGTACGTTGTCCATTTTCCCCACTGCCTGGTGCAAAGGCAATCTGAACCAAGGAGTTGGCTGGGCTTCAGAGCAGCATCCACTTAACTCCAGAGAGACGAGAAAGGGCAGATCCTCTTGGGGAATCAGTCAACAGTGGATACTTTTAGCACATGGAGCATTCCTCTCCCGTGGGAGTCCAAGTGCAACAATCTCATGATAAGCTCAAGTTTTTCCAGGCCACAGAGTGAGAGATAGAAAGTTTCAGGGACTTTTTTTTTTTTTTTTTTGCTTTCTTTCTTTCTTTCTTCTTCTTTTTTTAAAAATTTTTTTATTTTTTTATTTTTTTTATGTGCACAAGCTTGGAACCCTCTGCTGCAAACAAAGCTGCTTTCCAACTCTGAGTACTGTACTCTGTCACGTGACACTGAGGCTTAACAGCTGCATCACTGAAACCCTAACCCCCTGAAGTGTCAGCTGAATTCAGGTAACAAGGCTGCCAGGAACTGCTCATCAAATCATAGCTGGTTAGAGCTGGAGGGGGTGTGAAGAGGCATCTAGGCTGACTGCACCCCTTTTACAGATAGGGAAACTGAGCTCCAAATAGGGAAGACACACGCCTGAGTTCTGCATTTCAGGTTGCTTCCAGGAAGAAAGGAGGATGATTTTCATCCAGCACTTGCCCCAGTTACAAAACCAGAGCACATCTGTGGCTCAAACTATCTTTCTGAGACCCCCATGAAGCTTCAGAGTGGCTCTCAGAACCGTGTCATGGCTCATCCACTGCCTAGGGGTGGGACGTTGGACAATTTACTTCACCTCTCAGTTTTCTCGTCTGCAAAATGGGGCTGATAACAGTGCCTGCATCACAGGATTATGATGATGGTTGAATGAATGAAGATTTTCAAAGTGCTTAGAACAGTGCCTGGGCATAGGAAGTGCCATATAAGCACCTGTTAAACAGAAATGAAAGCAGAAGCCATATAGAGTGTCCCAGACAGGGCAGCGGACCTGGGGCCTGGTCTGGTTCTGTTTGGACGTGTGACCTAGAGCAACCTCCTTCCCCTCTCTTGGTCAGTTCCTGCTCTCAAAGTTGGGGGCATGGACTCTTCTGGTCCCTGTGCTCCTCCCAGATGGCTGGCACCGAGACCTCTCCTGGTCTGCATACCTTTGGCTTCTCCCTGTGCTGACCTCAGAACACGGGCCAAGGGCAGGTGAAACTGAGCTGGAATGTTCGTGCTCTCAGAAAGTAGGGGGGCCCCCTAGATCTTTTCAAAACTCACATACTGACTTGCAAATCAGGTAACAGAGACATCTCCGTGAAGGGGCCAATTGTGTGGCTGGGACAAAAAAAAAAAAAAAACCCACTGGTCTCTGTTATCTCTTATCCTCTCTCTGACTTCTCTTTCCTTGTTCTTGAACTTAGAGAGAAAGGGGTCTTTGAAAATGCCCATTTTGAAATCACAATGGTATGAGAATCACGGGTCTCTTGATTGCTCAACCCTCCTCCAAATCCAAAAGCACATTTATTTTCTTCTTGCCGGAGTGGAAGCTGAGAGAGCACTCGGAGCCTGTCTGGAATCTGAGTCTCCACACCCTGGTCCTGTGACCGGGGCAAGTTAGTTTCTGGGCCCCAGGTTCTCTGTCCCTCCCGTGGGCACCCACCTTCCGGTAGATCTTCTGGGAGGAGGACTAGGGGTGCTGGCTGTGTGAGAAGAGGGAATTTGCTACCGAGGCCAGAGAACTTGATATTTGGCGTGGGGGCACTGGGGGAGCCCTTCGCCAGGTTAGAGCTGAAACAGAGCTCCCAGCTGGGGCTCCGAGAGGCCTTAGGTGGGGGCTATACTCCAGTCCTGAGAGGCCTTTTCTACCTGCCCCCTGCCCCCTTCAGGTCTGACGCTTGGCTGGGACCTTTGCACCACCTGCCTGACATGCAGACACAGCTTCACTTGACCCCACCCCCACCCCTGCAGGGGAACGACTCCAACAGCCAGATGGCCAGAGGCACAGGCCTTCGCTTCATTGCCCTGGGGACAGAAAGAGTCTGCAACATGGGAGAAAGTCTGTGGGGAGGGGCAGGGCCCCTCCTTAGCTTCAGAAAGGAACTGTCCCACCACCAGCCGGGCCTTCTGCCTCCCACCCATGTCGCTGGCGCCTCCTCTGGTCCATCTTCCCTCAGAGCTCCTGAAACCAGCATGCCCACTGAGTCACTGCCCCTCAAAGATTCCTCGGGCCTACAGAGAAAAGTCTAAACTCTCCGGGTGGCCGTGCATGCCATGCCTCCCCCCTCCACCATTATCCAGCCGAGACCTCCTTCCAGGGTCAGCTAACACCCCGCAGAAACTGCACTGAGATTCTAATTACCGCTGTCCCCAGTCACCTTTCGTACGAGAGCCTTTGCTCATGGCCTCCATTTGGCCTAGAATTCTTTGTTTTTATTCTTTTTTTTTTTTTTTTAAAGATTTTATTTATTTATTTGAGAGAGAGAATGAGAGACAGAGAGCACGAGAGGGAAGAGGGTCAGAGGGAGAAGCAGACCCCCCGCTGAGCAGGGAGCCCGATGTGGGACTCGATCCTGGGACTCCAGGATCATGACCTGAGCTGAAGGCAGTCGTTTAACCAACTGAGCCACCCAGGCGCCCCTGTTTTTATTCTTGACTCAGAAAAATCCCAGGGCCCAGTTCCCAGATCACCTGGCCTGTGAAGCCTCTACCGGTAAGAATCAGTCGTCTCCCTGAGCTCCCTGTCCATGCCCGTCCAGGACGCTGTTCATCAGGCCTGCACGCCCCAGCCTGAGCCGACTGACAGGAGGGCAGGGTCCCTGCCAGGGTCCCCTGGGGTGGCCCGCACAGGGCCTGGCACCCGCAGGCAACTACACCATATTTACTGAGCTGACAAAAGTAGCTAATCCCCCTTTGGTTCTCACTTTTTAAAGCTGCTTGTTCGTGTAATTCTATGTGACAGTGGTCTAGGATCGAATTAGAACAGAATCACCTCATAGCAATAAAGCTGGGAGCTTGGTTATTCCTTGCCTATAGCGCTTGTTTTTCCTGAAGCCAGGCTTCTGGGCAGCAGGGGTGCAGGGGAGGGAGGAGGAGACCCAAGGCTCTCGCACCAGCCCTGCCTTCCAAAGCCCTGGAGTAGCCTCATCAGAGGATCCATCTCCTCAGGCTGGGCAAGGGGAAGTCATGAAGAGCAAGAGGGATTTGTCATTCTATGGGGCCTAAGATCCAGGACCCCTAGCCTAGGAATCTGGGTTTTCTAGAAAGAAGACATTTATTTGAATCTGGAGATAAGGCCAGGTTATAAGCTCATGGCAGCTGAGCCCTGAAGGGACCAACCAACTCCATATTTCATGGATGGGGACACTGAGGCCTAGGGAAGGACAGGGACTGGCCCAAGGTCACATGGAGAGTAAGAGACAGGGTCGGGGGTTGGTGCTGGGACATCTAACCTCTAGTCCTGCATTTCTCCCTCTACACTAACGATGATTACTTGAGGGTTAGTGCAATGGTATAGTGGTGTTCTTTTCTTTATGGATCACTGTTAAACCACAGTTGAGCAATGACAGGTTTTCAAAGAAAGGTGTGAAATGTTCCATTTTTAACTAAAAATATATATAAAATGGAAAATTCACCTCATTCAGTAATATTCATTATGTACTTTCTCTGGACTGAGCATTGACCTGGGGATCTGGGTATAGATAGTAGATGCAGTCCCCTGTCTAGCAGGCCACCTGGGAATCTCTTTCTCGGCCCTGCTCACGGCTCCATGGTGGCTGGCCAAACCACAGGCTTGACCAGGGAGCCTCCTGCCGCTTGATCCTGTCATCCTGACTGCAGAGGCCAATTCTGAGCATTAAACACACTTCTTACATGTGCCAACTATGAAATGCAATGATAAAAACACATCCCCCCAACCAGTGAAAGGGACTCTTGCTGTCCTTTATTCCTCAGTTAATTCCTTCCATGACATAGGGTCCCCATGGCCCTGCAGCAGCTAGCTGAAGAGAACGGCGGAGCTCGCTTTTGCAGACAGTTACAGTGCCTGCTAGGGAGCAATACCTCATGGGGCTGGGACAAGATTCTCCAGAAGGCTGTATTTACTCTGAATCCATGCCCAATATCTGGTGCTGTTTCTCCCCCAGTCAGGATTCATGGAGGGGAGAGGTCCTCCTCACTGCTACCCCTAGTGATCCACTGGTAGCATTTTTGCTTCCTGTCCTTGTGACCTTATGCTCTTCTGGTCTAGAGGTCTTAGTCCCAAAGGGAGGAATGTTTCCGCCAGAAGACACAACACTGACTCCACTGGACTGGACACTGAGACTCCCGCCTGGCCACTTGGGGCTCCTTATGCCACTGAATCAAAGGGCAGAGAAGGAGTTTCTGTACTGGCCGGGTTGACTGATGTGGAATTGGACTACTGCCCCACATCGGAGGTGTGGAAGCGTCTGCCTGCAATCCAGAGACTGCCGAGGGGCTTCTTACCAGCACCATGTCCTGTGATTGGAGTCAATGGAAAATGACAACAACCCAATCCACGCAGGGCTACTACGGGCCCAGACCCTTCAGGAATGAAGGTTTGAGTCATCCAACCAGGAAAGAATCGTGACCAACAAGGTGCTTGCTAAAGGCAAAGGGAATACAGAACGGGAGTGGAAGAAGGTAGTTATAAATACCAGCTGGAAGCATGTGACCGGTTAGAGAAACAAAGACCATAATTGTCATGAGTGTTTCCTCCTTATTTTGTTTTGAATGTGTGTGTGTGTGTGTGTGAAGCAAGTATCTTTGTTTTTCACCCCCCTTACTCTCTTATCATGTAACATAAGAGGTATTGATTTTACATCATAGTATTTAGGTATTATTAATTTTATACCATAGTACTTAAGTTATGGGATATCAAGGGCAGGATTACTCAAGGACTTCACCTCCTCTTCTGGACTCTATCTCCCTCTTATGACCTCGTTACTGTCTTTATAACGAGAGAAGTAAGATTTCAGATGTGTATGGGTGCGAAGTGGACAAGGAGTAGACTTGTGATGGTTAATTTTATGTGTCAACTTGACAGGGCAACGGGGTACCCAGACATTTGGTTAAACATTTTTCTGAGCGTGCTTATAAGGATGTTCCTAGATGAGATTAACATTTGAAACTGAAAAAGAAAAAGATTGCCTTCCCTAATGTGGGTGAGCCCCATCCAGTCAGTTGAAGTTCTGAATAGAACAAAAATCTTGACCTTCCTGACCCTCAGAACTGCCTTGAGCTGGGTAATTGGTTTTCCTCCTGCCTATAGACTCAAACTCAAACATCGGCTCTTCCCGGGTCTTGCGCCTACTGGCCTTCAGACTGAAAGGACGCCATCAACTCCGCTGGTTCTCCAGGCCTTTGGACCTAAGCTGGAACCACACTGCCCGCCCTCCTGGTTTCCAGCTTGCTGACTGCAGATCTTGGGACTTGTCAGCCTCCATAATCGTGTCCAATTCCTTACAATAAATCTCTTCCCTATATACACATCCTGTTGATTCTGCTGTTCTAGAAAACCCTGACAAACACAACACACAAACACACACATGCAGGCACACACATGTGCACACGCGCGCACACACACACACACCTGCAAGAGTAGTGTTATTCCAGTGTCATTGCCACAGAGGGAAACGGGAAGTGGTAGCTACGGGAAGTCTGCCCCTGTCCCTCCCCCACGTGGTAATGGTTGCTGTCCCTGCACCTGTGATGACATGGTCCCCTTTAGTGCCTACTCACGTCAGGGTCCAGCTCATCCAGCTCATTTTCCAGGGTCCTGAGCTCTTCCTCCGTGAGGGCTCCGAGGATTTCATCTTCATCCAGGTCACGGTATTTCTCTAGTTCTCGTCTGTACGACATGGTAAGAGAATTGGTGCTTGTCTTCTGAGTTTCTGTGATCTATGACCTACCAGAAAGAGAAAAATCTTAGAAAGACCCTTCCTGGATTTTCTCTCTCAGAGCAAATCAATGCTTGGCATTCATATGGTGGCCGGGCATGTTCTATGAATCGTCGGGATAATAACTACTATAGCGGATACTCTACTAAGCTGGATTAATTTTCCAATAAAACTGTGCAAGGTGAAAGTCCTGATGGCATGTGACTGAATAAATTGTCATTGATTATATTGGCATGGCCACTAATTCCAAGTAAACAGGGGACTCTAAACGCTTATGAATGCTCGAAGACTATTTTATTCTTAAGTCGTTCAAATGCTTTTCTGTACAACCCTCCACCCTTCACTCCATGCCCTGATGGAAAACATGAATGCTGAAAGTTCTGCCAAAGCTGATTTTGTAAGAGGAGGAGCATCAGTTGAACACCTGCTGCATGCAGGTCCTTTGCCTACAACATCTCGGTCAAGCCTCACAAAAAGCAGCTAATGTTAACCACCACATCCAAGCCCTGTGTTAAGCACATCGCAAGGATTTTCTAATTTAACCTCTGAGTAGATATTTGTTGTTAACCCCATTTTATGGAGGAGGACATGGAGCTTAGATAGGTTGAGTGACTCATGCAAATCATGCTACTAGGAAGTTCTAGAACCACCATATGTACCCTGATCTGCCTTAAGCCCTCTGCCCTCCCTCTTGACTAAAACTGTTGATAATATGACAAGCCCAGCTCACACATCACCTCCGTTGTGAAGCCTCCATGTCCCCTCACTAAGCAAAACTCATCATGGCCCTCACGCTGGGCCCACACCCCTCCACTCAGCTCACATCCATCTCCTGTGGCGACCCCCCCACCCCCCGGGCAGGGTGTCAGTTTGCTGCATCCCCTTCCCCCCAGGGTCCAACCCGGGGCCACACACGCAACAGGATGCTTTTTACTGAAATGAACCTAATGGTAGTTCTACCTGTCTTTGTTTATCCCATCAGACAACCTTGAGGAGACCGTGGGCTCTTCTCCTCTTGGAAAATGTCAGCTTGCTGCAGAAACTGCCAGTATCTCTGTATCCGAGCCTGTTCTCACCCTCGCCCTCCTTTCTGAGGCTGACAGGCTAAATAGTGAGGCAACAGCTCAGGACTTCCTTCAATGCTGCGGAATGGAATACACTACTGTGTCCAGCATTGGTGTTATGGGTTGAATTGTGCTCTTCAAATTCATCTGTTGAAGTTCTAGCCCCCAGGATCTCTGTAAGCCAGCACCACTCTGCAAGTAAGATGTGCTGTTACCTGGTAGAAGAGTCATCGCAGGAATAACTCGTTCAGTTTACATGAGGTCCTACTAGAGCAGGGTGAGCTCCCAATCCAACATGACTGGTGTCCTTACAAAAAGTGGAAATTTGGACAGACACACACAGGAACACTTGTGGGGATGAAGACAGAGATCAGGGTGATGCTTCCAACAGACCAAGGAACGCCAAAGACTGCCAGCAAACCACCAGAAGCTGAGAGAGAAGACTGCAACAGACCTCCATGGCCCTTGGAAGGAACCAACCCTGCTGGCACCCTGATCTTGGACTTTGAGCCTCCAGAACTTTGAGACATTTCTGTTGTTTAGGCCACACAGTTTGTGGTATTTTGTTATGGTAGCCCCAGCAAAAGGATATAATCAGTATCTCCTTCATCAGCAGTTTGTGTTTTTAGACCCCTACACACACATATACACACACACACACCATGGCTCCTCTGTGACAGGACTGATGGGATCGTCCAGCATAGAGAGAAAGGAAAGTTAGGAAAAGACAACCAGCTAATCAATCAACCAGCTGGAATAGTTATTAACTAAAAACAATTAGTGCACTTAAACAAAAAACAGAGTTCACTCAGCTAACAGGAAAAGCCTCCATTTCAGAAAGCAGAGGTACGTGTTATTAATGTACGTTTGTGCACGTGCTGGCATGTGTGTAGGAGAAATATGGCAGCTGGCCTGATAAGAAAGCCCTTGCTTCCCAAACACAGAAAACCCCAGTACCATCCTTTTGTATAAGAATGGCTTGGCCTGGCCTGACGTCTTCCTTTGCCCGGACCCCAAGAACGCAAGGTTCAAACCACAAATGGGTCCCCCTTGATTCATTTCTATTTACTTCCAAAGAAAGCACAAGCCACTGACAATGCTCTGGTATAGATGAAAAAACAAAACAAAACAAAAACCCCTCTGTGATGCTCTCAGAGAATAACCTAATTTGGCTTTTCTTGAGTGGAACCAGGAGAGCATCTATAGCCAAGAGAGACCCTAGTGAAAGGTTCAGAGGTTTACCAGAACTAACTCACAGAGACACCTCTGAACGAGCTGCAAAACATATTTTGGGCACTCAAACAGGTTTTGGGCTATCCAAAGTTCCATAGGACCTGAGACCGCAGGACTTCTCAAAACTTTCGGTATGCTTCCACACATTGGGTGCCCCCAGGAGAAATAGGTTACATGCAGAATTTTCCTGGTCTTTAACCATGAAACCATGCCTCTGAGAAAGTATTCCTGGAATTGGAATCCCATGAAGCAAGGTTTGGGTAACACCCTTAGCCTCACCTCTGGGTCACATGAGGGAGCCACTCAGACTCACCCCAGAAGGGACTTGGGGGCAGAACCAGCTGGGACCGGTTTGGGATGCTGGGAGCTTCCCGTGCTTGCTGTCTTTGCCAGCAGACTCATTTCCTAGATGATTTGCACTAAAATCCTTCAAAAAAAGTGACAGGCAGAGCCTGCAGAAGGGATGAGCCAGGACAAGGGAAGAGAGGAGAATAGGAAAAGCAGCTGCAAAGGCACAAGTAGAGAGAAGTAGGTGGCAACTTTGGGGCCCCGCTGAAGGAGGGAGGGCTGGGCGGCAGGCCACCTCCAGAGACGCAGCCCTGAGGGGGACAATCATTAACTTTCCTGAAAGAGTCTCCCTCTTAGTACACACAGGGAAGGGAAGTTAATGTTCCTCTTCTACACTCCAAGGTGCTGTTGAATTCAAAAATCCTATTTCAGAGGATTTAAAGGCCCTTTCTAATGTCAAATATTCCGTGAATGTTACGGAGCGATGAGACCTTCCATTCAATGCGCCGCCGAGAGGAGCGGAGGGCTCCTAAGGCCAACTAGGAAGCCGTCAGCTTCCAGCCACACTCACCTACTTGGCTCCCAGAACTGGCTTCTCTAAAGCAAGATTCTCCCCCCCACCCCCAGCCCCCGGGGTCAATGAGGTGGCGAGCTGGAGGTGGGGAGGGGGAGGGTGGGAGGGAGGTGGAAACCCTGTGCACCGAGCCCACGGCAAGCTCGACCTTAAAACGTGGCTCGGAACGGATGGTGTTTTATAGCTGTTAATAAAAGGCTTCCATTGCCTAATAAAAGAGCTGCCACGGGCGGACGCAGGGCTGCGATTCAGAGACTCCGGTTGGAGCGCCAGCCGCCCTGGTGGCTCCCTGGGCGGCCCTCGCTAAATCCCTCCCTTCCTCTGCGCTTCCGTCTGCTCAGCTGTACAAGGAGCGTAAGTGGACTGGGAAATTCCACTTGTGACCTGTGCCTCTGGGAGCCATCCAAAAATCGGATCAGATGGGGGTCTTTCAACCGTGTGCAGGGAGACCTCAGGCGCCTCCAGGGTCCCTGCCGGGGGTTACGCAGGGAAGGCTGAGTGAGGGGGCTCACCTTGGTTTTGCCTGATGTGTTTATTTGGGGCTCCGTGCCAGATTTCCCTTGAAGAAAGAGGGATTCAGCTGCGGAAATAAAAAGTTGCCAATCACTCTGAACAGTGAGAGGGTAATGGTACTGTTCCCTCCATAGGGTGTTGTAAAGGTTAAGTGGCCATGAGCAGATCAGGGGCAAAGCCGGGGGCTGGTGTGCGGTCCACACAGGCTCAGCAAACACTAGCCGTGACTCTGAGGTTGCCGCCCCCTGCTACTGCTACTGGGGTCGCCTTCCTATCCCCCTCCCGCTCCCCCAGGTCCTCTCGGCAGACTGTAACTCCCCTCAGAGAGGGACCCAGGTCTTACTGGTCTTCACGTCCCCAGTGCCTAGTCCTGTGCCTGGTAAGTGTGCTAGTAGAGAATGAGCACGTTTGGGTTGCGGTCTAGTGTCCTTGGGCCTTTGGGCAAGTCCCTTCTCTTCTTGGATCTTTTGTTTTGCCATCTTTCAAAAGGAAAGAGGGGGACCAGGTCTGGGAGGGCTGGGAACCCAAACGGGGAGGGAGCGGCAGGAAGGGGGTGATGATGAGGCTCCCAGCATGGCCAGCCTGAAGTGCCTCTCTTACCTGCTTTATAAATTGAGTCCTGAGGAAGAGCTGGTAAGAAAAACAAAAGGGCGGCTCAAGAAATGTAAGACACATTGAAAAACTTGAGTCTTCCACATCTCGTGTCTATGGTACCCCAGCAGGCTCATCTGGCCACCCTGCTTCTCAACAGCAGAAGCCTTAGACCACGGCTCAACATGAAAAAACAGAATTTACAAGCTGTGCCAGGAAATAAAACTACGCAGGTTGGAGAGTAAAAATTAGTGGGTCAAGGGCTGAGGCCATCCATCAGGAAGCTTCAGAAATGAAAGCTCTGAGACGGGGAAGTTCTCGGAGTACCAAGGGCACTTTTAAATCTTTCATGGGGAATGGGTCCAGTCACTTCTGCTAATGGCTTTTCCGGCATCCGCCCCCACGGAAACACTCCAGAAGGAGGCGCTGTAGCAGCGTCTGGATTTATGGACTGCACTTCCCTGAGGTCAGGAGGGGCTGAGTCACAAATTCAAATGAATATTTTTCCAGTTATACCATCTTCTTATTTCAGCCACAGTGAACAGCTTGATGATGGCCGAAGAAAGGCTGATTTACAAAGTTGACTCTTCATACCCAATCTTCTCACGTCTTTGTCCTTCTCTTTTGGAAGACACTTTGGTCAAAGAGATTTCAGGCCATGATCCCTCATCACCGAAGCCTGCGCCTCTCTCTTCCCTTGGCTTCAGGGACACAAGAGTGCCTGAGATGCCCCCTGTTCCTCTTG